AGAAACTAGTTTCAAATTAAATGTGTACATTATAAAATGAATAGAATAAATGAACTAGAAATAACTATAATGAATATTGAAATCATTTTTTTTTTTAAATTTGAATTTGAAAGGCATGTAGACCATCAGGTGTATTGTTGGTGAAAACTATTTGTCAACGTGTTTTTTAAAAGTTGTTTTGTTTGCTGCAAGTTTGTGTTAAAGGGTCACGATTCCGGTTTAACAGCAATCTGTGAATAAAAGTTGTTTTTTCTTAAAATGTAAAATATTCTATTCAATGTGTTGTTGTATTTTGCATCTTTGTTGTTCAGTTTTATTCGGTTTTGAAGATTAACATTAAAAGGTTTTGTTGGGGTATGTTGGGACATCCACTTCTGTATGAAAGATACAAGTTAAATCTAAATAAAATCTAAAAATTGTTGTGTTAGAACAAGGGGTTTTATTTCTATTACAACTTTCAGGGTCTTTGATCTATTTCATTACCCCCACCCCCTCCCTCTCCACCCCCACCCCCTATTAAATAGTACTATTTCGATATTTGCTCTTAGATATTCACTGCAATCTTGTCCGTGTCAACCTACGAAAAAAAAATCATGAAATAGTAACGTAGCCTGACTGAATTGATTAAACATTAATTGTCCAAAAATTTGTATGCTAGATGACAAAGCGGCTCATCCTCAGCCATATTGTTTACAATGTTTCTGTAACGGAGTCTGATTGGCTGTATTTGCACGCGTACAATCCAATCAAATCGCTGCATTTTGTGATACGAGAATATTATCTATTAGAGTCATGGTATAAGATGCAGTTCGTAATAACGTGACGAAGCGAAGATAGGGTCAATGTGACCTAATCTCAGTTAAATGGACTGCGTGAGAAAGATATATGGGTATGGGTTTATTGCTCATCAATTTTTCTTCAAAAAAAACTATCGTCTATTAACGTCATTATTTGATATGTGGTTGATTTAAAAGCATTTAATATCGAGCGTGATCTATTCAATTGATTTCAATGTCAATTTATTGTGATTGTCGCATATTGTACCGAAAAGTATGTTGTAATCTGATGTAGCCTAATGTTTGCTTAATCCATGTTTAAAGGCAGGCTCATAGTTACAAAGAGGGGGGGGGGGGGTTAATAAATGGAATGCTCCTCCAGATATATACTTGTTCCTCCGGATATATTACTTGTTCCTCCAGATATATTACTTGTTCCTCCTGATATATTACTTGTTCCTATATTACTTGTTCCTCTGGATATATTACTTGTTCCTCCTGATATATTACTTGTTCCTCTGGATATATTACTTGTTCCTCCGGATATATTACTTGTTCCTCCGGATATATTGCTTGTTCCTCCGGATATATTACTTGTCCCTTCGGATATATTACTTGTCCCTTCGGATATATTACTTGTTCCTCCGGATATATTACTTGTTTCTCCAGATATATAACTTGTTCCTCCGGATATATTACTTGTTCCTCCGGTTGTATTACTTGTCCCTTCGGATATATTACTTGTTCCTCCGGTTGTATTACTTGTCCCTTCGGATATATTACTTGTCCCTTCGGATATATTACTTGTCCCTCCGGATATAGCACTTGTCCCTCCGGATATATTACTTTCCTTGCCGAACAATACTGTCCGGTTAAGGGCCTGTTTAAAAGAAATACAAAACGCGTCCGATAAACCCGTATGAATTCATAAATTCAAGTGGGATATAAATTAACTGAATATTTGCTTTATCAATTGCACTTGAAAGAGTTAAATATCAGTTAGATTTATTTTGAAAAACGCTACCGGCAACTTACCGCTTTGGTGTTGTAAAATGGGTTATCGTTTAAAACAGATTCGAACAACTTCATGGCCAATATGAACGAGTTAGCCTCGGTGTATATGTGAAGTTGATATCGTCATGGCCTCAGATCAAACCTCGCTTGTCTAGTCTTATATCTAGGTAAATGTGTTTCCTAAATCAAAAGTGATATTTTTCATCTATTCATGGATTATCCTTATTGTTAGAAGTGAAGCATTGAACGTTTCCGTACGTTACAGTTGATCAACGGAGAGTCGCACATTTGTATGGAACGCTCTGCCATCTCATCCCACCTTTAGCCCATTATATTTAGGTAAATATGTTGCCCACGAAAACACTCCCTAGCCAAACTCCGAAATTGTCTAACATTATATCAAGTGTTTTGAAAACGTCATTCTATCAAGTTATATCCCAGGTTTTAGAAGTGGATCCTTTAAACTGATGGTACATCAGTAGCACATTTTGTTTAACTGAATGGGCCACTCCCTTCTTCCCCTCCCTCCAGTCAGACATAACTTGAACATGTCTGACATCATATCTAGGTGGACGAGTTGCTCGAGAAAAAATAGTTGATGTCTTGTTATAATGACATCCTGGATCATTCATCTTGATATAATTTATATCTTGTCACTCGGTCATCTTCACTCAGGTTTTTTAAAATTACAGTTTAACACGTACATTTCACAATCAATACGAACAGGATAGACTTCGATATATAGTAAATATTTATCTGATGTACCTATTGACTATTTAAAGGGGTTGTAAAGAGGATTTGTGAAACTTAAAACCTAACTTATGTAAACAGGTTTTCTACATTTTTATGTGTATCGGGGACACTGATAGCATCAATTTGCACCATTCCATTTATCAATCAGGCATCTGTAGTTCCTGCAATTCCACTAAAACCAAGTGTTTGATGACGTCTCGTATCTCGAAGGGCCGTGTGTGATAAAGCATATTTGACGATTAGTGACGTCATAAAACACTTAGATTAAGTGGAATTGCAGGAACCACGGGCATCTGATTGAAAATTTGAAAGGTGAACAATGATGCTTTTAATGTCCCCGATAGACATAAAACTTGAGATAACCTCTATACAATCCCTTTAAGTGAAATCATGCGTCGATTTGTTTACTATTTTTTTTATTTTTTGAATATCTATATAATACACTATAAGTAGGTACATGTATATTGAAACCTGAACGATAAGATTAAAAATTATAAAAAAAAAATTTCACAAGTTTCAAAAGGTTATTATGAAGTCTAATTTATAATGCAAACAAAAATCTTATTTCAAGAGACAGAATTATGACATTGATACACTTAAATCGAAAGGGAAAATTTTGAAAAGAAAAATGATCATCGAAATTCAGATACAAAAATGATAATTCAGTACATTGAAATGATAAAGAGTAAGCTTTATCATAATTCAAAAAATGAAATATGTCCTAAACGAGCCACCGTAAAAAACGATTTATTAAACATTATTATGGATGATGTCCTGACATGACCTCAAGCCCTAGACGTATATCAACCGGACATATATTGTGTTTAAGTGTCAGTCGGTTATGATAATGAATGGTGATAAAATACCAATATGGTTTGGGATGATACTTCCAGATTTATCGTCCCATCACGGCACGGTGACTAACTACCAGCTAACTGATATAACAGACTAGGTAGTTGTTTGATAGATGACAAGTTAACGTCTGCTTCCAGCTAACTGATATCACAGACTAGGTAGTTGTTGGTAGATAACAAGTTAACTTCTGCTTCCAGCTAACTGATATAACAGACTAGGTAGTTGTTGGTAGATGACAAGTTAACATCCCCTTCCAGTAAACTGATATCACAGACTAGGTAGTTATTGGTAGATGACAAGTTAACGTCCGCTACCAGTAAACTGATATCACAGACTAGGTAGTTGTTGGTAGATGACAAGTTAACATCCCCTTCCAGTAAACTGATATCACGTCTGCTTCCAGCTAACTGATATCACAGACTAGGTAGTTGTTGGTAGATGACAAGTTAACATCCCCTTCCAGTAAACTGATATCACAGACTAGGTAGTTGTTGGTAGATAACAAGTTAACTTCTGCTTCCAGTTAACTGATATCACAGACTAGGTAGTTATTGGTAGATGACAAGTTAACATCCCCTTCCAGTTAACTGATATCACAGACAAGGTAGTTGTTGGTAGATAACAAGTTAACGTCTGCTTCCAGCTAACTGATATAACAGACTAGGTAGTTGTTGGTAGATGACAAGTTAACATCCCCTTCCAGTAAACTGATATCACATACTAGGTAGTTGTGAGTAGATGACAAGTTAACGAGTTTATAACATCACATTCTAGTAGATAGGGGATTCAATACAGAGATCATGCAGAAATATGAACTGCAGTTAGGTCTTCATATTATTCCTTTATAGTTTTAAAGCTAACTAAAAAAGAAAAAGAAAGGAGTATATCCATAATAGTGTTTTTTAATTCCATAATGTGTAATATTTGTTTACAAAACACAGCAATATGACCAAACATATCGTGTTGACAATCTTTTTAGGTTAATATAACAAAAGACGGACATTTATTGTAGGCATTGTACAAGTAAATACGTTATTAAAAATTATATATAATTTCTTTTATAAATAAAGTAGACTCAAAGATTTTAAATAACAATAGAATAGACATAGACTATAATCATTATAAACAAAATCATAAAGAGATCTACTTTGAACTGAGACACTCGAGCGAGTAGTGAAAACCTGTGAGGAGTTCAGCATTTCACTATGACATCTCCCTTGTATAAACATTACATGGTTTCATATAATATAATTGAAAATAAACGAGATAATCTTAAGTCGGCAATTTGCTAATCTTCAAACGATTAATCCAGCACAAAGCTGGCTTCCTAATTAATTAGTTTAGTCTTAAGTTAAGATAAAAAGGTCATTTCCCAAGTGTGATACTACAATGCACCGATACTAAACCTGGTGGAAACTTCACGGTAGCTCTACCTATCAATTCAGTAACGATTTGCCTTTAAGTTAGACTTTCAAGTGGGTAATCGAGACAGCGATCTTATTGTTTGATGCACGACGCATATCATTGTGTTGCCTGAGGGGAGTGTGTCGACTGTAAGCTGTAAATCTGTGTGACAAACCAGTTCACAGTTAAAACTCATACCTGAAGGGTTCAGGTCTACCTGTCTGAGTTTATAACATCACATCGTTCAGGATTACTAGTAGATCTCCAGATAGGGGATTCAATACAGAGATCATGCAGAAATATGAACTGCAGGTAGGTCTTCATTTTTATTATAAGTTTTAAAGGTTAATGGTTAAATGTATTTGAAGGTTTGATTGGTTGCTATACATGTCTTAGTGCAACCAGAATAGGCCTGTTGAATGTATCAGTTCTGAATTTGGTTTTTTGATGTCATCTGTAAAGTTTGTCAAATTTTAATGGTTTGTCTGGCTGACTGAGTGTCAAAGTTTCCAATGATGAAAATATTGTCTAATAGTACTAGAATCATTTCTTCTAAAAACTACCTATTTGATAACATGTTCCTATGTTTCTGAGACAGAATATATTTGTATTAGATTGTATAATCATCTAAAACCTGTATCTAAAAGAATTTAGAAAGGGTTGGGTATTCATCACGACTCATTTCACGTGAACCTATTCTATACGTCAATATTTAGTATACGGGTGTTATAAAAATAGCAAGTAGCAATGTTGTGTAGTTATCAAGGAGGGAAATTTAATAAGGCTCGACAATCGTCAATCGACGTTGCCCAATAGAATTCATGTAGATTGAGATCCAATATGGAATATAAACCGTACTGATGTTTATCTATTCACATGTTCACTGCAAAACAAACAACCAATTGTAGAAACGTAAATAGACAATTTCTGATTGCGATAAATACACATACATGTACAATGTATTTCGACAGGTATCCTTGATACTTATTACACCTTTATTTACTTAAAACACAATAGAGCAGTTTCGTAAGATACTTACTATCACAACACAACTGTATCAATTGTAGACATTATTTACTGTATAGTACAGCAAGGATATCTTTGCTCATCCGGGTCAGAATCCAAACACGAGAAGTCCTTCATATTATAGGTAGAATAATCAGTAATAGAAGCTATGTAGACTAAACTTACATATATTCTAAAATTATCTAAATTAAAACTGAATGCACATTGAAACCCACCCAGAGGAGCAGAAATATCTTGGATTTTTCTCCATTTTGAACCAGTTTGACCTTTTTATGGGGGTCAATATGATATACAGTTTGCAAATTAAAACAGAATCTATTTTGTATCTGTCGTCTCAAATAACAACTGGTACCATATGCAATCAGATGATGAGAAATTCGCGCCTCAGTAAATTTTGTATTGTATTATTTTTATATTCAGTGACATTAATTGACTTCCTTGTTATATTTTTGACAGTAAGAATTATTTGTCGCCAGATAGAAATAGACGTAAGCATGGCAACTGTCATAACTGGAGAATTTAATGTTTTTATAAATCTGGGTAAGAACGCTTATGACCACAAACTTAATCAATACTTCGCCCAACAGACAATCAGTATCTACAGTATCAGGAATCGTCTTTAGGTTAGTCTGGGATTGGGTATTGGTTGGTAGCTTTAATTCTATGGGGGGGGGGGGGGTTCTTAGAATTCAAATTATCTTAGAGACCCTTGGCTACAAACTACCTGTCGACCAGCTTTGACCATAGAATCAGCTCAAAGTGTCAGAAAGCAGTGGTGTGCATTATGTATCACAGATATTACAAAGTATTAATGTAATGTATAGTTTGTTCTGTTCCAATTTCGATCTTGTTTCATGTTTGATTTAGTGTCTAATTGAAACCGTTGTTACACTCTAAAACATTCGTGATGTCATTACCCGCTTTCCGTGTATTCAATAAATACGATGTTTTCACACTAATATATCATCCCTTATTCATCGTTACTTCCTTGTTTCGGCCAACTAAAATCTTTTACATTCCATAATCAATCTGAAAGGATTAAACATAAGTTAGAAAATCGAAATTACGAAACTAACGTTTCAAGAGATCCATGGACCTTGACTAGGGTAGAACTTCGCTTCGATGGTTTAAATTTGGAGAATGAATAAGGCAACAGGTCGAGAAACTAATAATATTTGCTGAAATTAAAAAAAAATTAGTGTTCCGCTTTGCTGTAGAAGAGATACAAATTACCTATATCTGTCCTTCTTTTATTGTACAGTTCAAAAGCAAAAAGTAGAGCGTACACATTAAATTTGAAAGCAGAGTTTACTGAATAAATGGTAATTATACCCCACAAAAATAAAACTATACATAATGTATCAAAACCCTGGGGGACAAATACTGAATTAATAAGATAAACAGGTAAAGCCTAAATATAACATGTATGTGAATACAACGAATAAGCAGTAAACGTGTACCTATAATTACCATAAAACTCCATTCATTGCGTTTTATTTCCTATAATTGTCAAACCTGTTCGTCAATGGAGTTTTGTTGGACCTTATAGACTGAATTGATACTATTTTTGATATGTTCTGTTATTTGAGAGCAGATGTTTTTACTCCTATTTACCAAGGGAATGTGTTAGACATTTACAACTGTCCAAAATGAGAATCGTCTGATGAAAAAAAAAGGCTATGTAACATACGTTCGCCTTGGTGAACGCCACAGAAATCAGACTTATATAATTATCAGAGATGTCCATATTGTAATAATGATTTTGAAACACTCATTGATATGATTTAACTAAATAAGAAAATATTTTGAAAGATAAAAGTCTATCAAACGAGTCGAGGTTAATGACATGTGAATCTATTTATATAAATCTTGTTTCACTCTTTTATTCTTTGAACGACCAGGTTACTCTGAACCGTGAACATAGATTATCTATTATGATTACGTAAACGAGGGATAGATCAAATGTTTTTACGAGGGGACTAACAAAATTCAACTAAATACTATCTATTCTCTGATGTTTTATGCCTAGTTTGGGGAGTGGAAGATGGGATGTATACCAATAGCAGGCTATCTTACAGGCCTCTAGCAACCATAATTTATTTTCATACGATAAACTATAAATATTTATAACTTTATATATTTACATGTTATTGTGTTGTCAAAATAATGTGAAATTTCAAATAAAAGAATGTTGAAATCATAAGGAAGACGTCACGTTAATTCAAAAATAGTTTTTTTTATATTAAAATAAGTTAAAATATTTGAAAGATAAAATTGAAAAATAAACTCTGACGTAAATGGAAAATGAATAATTATCGGGTCAAATAGTCCCAATTTATAAAGAACGTTTACTTTCACATGTTACTCAACAACAAAACGAATTAGATGAAATAAAAACAGACAAAGTGTATGTAGTTTGCAGGTTCTATAGTTAGGCGAGTTTTTAAACCTCTTTTTAAGCTCTATTTTTAAATATCTGTGATTCCATATTATTGATGTCTGTCCAACTGAAAATGTTTCTTACCATAAACAATACTTATTAGTGCTGGTGTGGTTAGTGCTGGTGTGGTGTGGTGCGATTGGGAATTAAAACCCACCCATTCTTTTCTTGTTTGATAAATTAACACAAACGATGTAAAAAAAACCAACAGCGAATATAATATAAATAAAGTCGGTATAACGATCTAGTAAACATGTTAATAACCACGTTGTCAACTTATTATGCAATTCTACATCTTGATTGATACCTAGAGATGTTTATTACCATATCTGTCTTTGTACTAGTTACATAAACTCAGCTAATGAGCCAAATTTGTCATCTTTGTATTTCACCTGTATTTCATCTGTATTTTGTACCGCAGGTGATTCAAGAAATTTTAATGGGGTCGGGATGACATAGAAACAAAGGAGGATTTATATTTGTCAACCTTTTTTAATGCACATCCGCAGGCACATTCAACTTAATGTATTTATACAACTTTATAGTACATATAAAACCAAAAACAAACATTAGCTGAGTGGATTCTCCGAAAAAGGGCAATAAACAATGTCATTGAGTATTTTCTTCTGAAGTTGGGTGGTAGTTGAGCCACTAGCTATGTTATGAATCTTTCAATCGTTGATACATACTGATAATAAGTACGGCGTCATATAGGCACCTTGGTTAAGTCCAATATTAACGAGAAAGATTGTCCACCTTAAACCTTACTTTTTTTAGGATAACTTTTGAATAACATTGTCAAAACGTTGTCTGAAATGATGAAGTTTCAAGGTTTGTCAACAAATTTTTCTCCTACAGCTGTCCACACTTTCAAAAAGTTAATATGTAAAACATGCAGACAATGAGATGATTAATTGGTCGGATATCAAGTTATTTTTTTCATAAACTCAGACAGAAATGATGTTATTACTTTGACCTATGTCGAGTTTATTTTTTCTACTAACGTGATGTAGACCGATTAAAAAATTAAAATACAACAAAATTACATTAATCGGTAAAAACTGTTCTTTGTTGTGATAATTACTAATTAATAACAGTAGGAAGGTCGACCTTTCAGTAATTATCAACATCTTTTTTCCGTTTGAAATCCTCAAAAAATTTTTAACATGTCTGTGTTTTGCGCATGTTAGTAACTTGCAATAAATCAATTTATAAATACCACAACAGCCAAAAATTCGTTTGATACATGATTTGCGGTTATATAAGAAACGATTAGTCAGGGGATCGGAAACCAAGATGTCGACTTACGTTGATTTTAAGTTGGTAAGTTTAAGATGTTTCCGTGTTGGGTTCACTGTAGTCCCCCGGGGGTAATAAGGATGTCTCCAGAAAGGGATTGTAATAACAATGTTAGTAATTTTTCTTTTTTTGATTTCCAGGAAAAACGGAATGGAAAGGATCCAGAAAATGGGGTAAGTGACTTAATCATTCAGTTCAAAACTTTCTTATAGATCTCAGAATAAAATCCATGAAGGCAATTCCACCATTCTTAACACTGAGAAAACTGACAATATTAGAGCATTTGGAAAATACCGTCATCAAATAAACAGAGGGATTCCACCCCATAATTTCTAGGCACTCTGGTGTGTTTAGATGATCAAATATACCACAACTCTTATACCCAGTCAACAGCAAAATGAATGGATGAACAGCTTTGAACGAAAGTCATAAATTATTTGCAATGTCGACAGTAATATCTGAATCAACTGCTGATATCATAGGTATACTTCTTACAAAATTCCTGTACCATCTTTTATTGAAACCAAATGTAGGAATAGGGTATTATTGTTTTGTTATGTATTGCAGGGTGTTCATAACAAAGGTTTCCTAGATGACAATTCTAAATCCTTCGACGACAACCAGGTTGTTATAGAAGAAGAAACGGATCCATGGAAAGTGTCGAAAGTTATTGTGGATGAAGTTCCCATGAATGGTAAGCATACATATAGTTTTAATCATAGAACGCAATTTCATCGTCTCGTAGTAGTAAGCCCAGTAGAAATATGGCAACAGAAAGACGTCGCAGTTTTGACCTTGACAGGGCACCATTGTTTCAGAGAACGGTTACAGATGTCACAGGGAGACAGTATTAAACACGTTAACAATGTTTTCCAAGCATTCTACGCAAGTCTTGTTGCCTTATTAAAAGGGTTCGACGGTAATAAACCCACAAGCGTATCCCTTTTACGTATGTATTCCTTTCATTGGAACCATTTTCGACAATTCACGACTCTAGCATCGTTTTTCAGAGCTGGATGGATTTGGCAAATGTAAAAGGATCAGTTTAATATTTATTAGAATAATTCTAGTATTGGCCTGTCTGTATTTCTTCATCTGTTCTTTGGACTTCTTGAGTTCAGCTTTCAAGTTATTGGGTGGTAAGTAGGATGATTTTATCTCGCCCTTATTAGAACGGTATTAGTCAACACAGGGAACTACCATACATGCGTTGGTGAAGCACGGTTTGATGCCAGAATACGTACTACCACTAAACCGATATGTTCCTATGACCTGTATTGGTGCCTCGATGGAATCGCAGTTGCTCAAAAGGTGCTTCAGATCTCGTTGTGGGTGTTCATTAGGTTGAGCTCGTGTAATTGATATTGAACCGCATTCAGGAAAGGCAAAGGATGATCTGAACACGCCCCATTTCACAGGAAATAACCATAGTTTATGATGGTCTTAATGATTCGGGGTTGAAAACTAAGTGACCTTGATTTCAAGACCATGACGGTGTGGGTGAGAGATCGACCTCGGCATGACAATGTCGCTCAATCCTGTTTGGTCTCATGCTTGGTTTTATTCTGTTAAATACACAACTATCTGTATTTCAGGACGAAAGGCTGGTGAAGTGTTCCAGAACAGTGAAATCCTATCCAACCCGGTAGCAGGATTGATGATGGGGGTGCTGGTAACTGTACTGGTTCAGAGTTCTTCTACCTCAACATCTATTGTTATCAGTATGGTAGGCGCTGGAAGTAAGTCTTCATAACGGAGTTATGCATCCAAATACGAGATTGCGCATTAAAATTAGTTATACGACTTATTACATGTATATTGCACTGTTTGATCGTATGGAGAGAGATTACACAGGAGACCAAAATATTTGAGACTACCACAAACTCCATCTTCTCCATTAGCAACTTATTGACTAGGTGCTGTTTCGGAACATACAAATTTCCAGCAGGCATTCTGCGTTGCCACTTATATCGCACATAACCAATATTCGATAGTCTTTCACTTCCTCACACAGTCTGCTCCTGCGTACTATTGATTTGGATGACGGCACTAAATGTTAAAAGTTAACAAATATCATGTTCACAATTCTTACTAACATCTTCATTCTTTTAGTTCTGGAGATAAGAACAGCTATACCTATTGTAATGGGGGCCAATATTGGAACCTCTGTTACTAATACCATCGTGGCGTTGGGACAGATTACTGATAAAAACGAGTTTCGCCGAGCCTTTGCTGGAGCTACTGTACATGATATGTTCAACTGGATGAGTGTAATAGTGTTTCTACCTCTGGAAATCGCTAGCGGTAAGAACTTGAAACTATCATTCTGCTTTAGCTACCCATCTCCAAAATTAAGGGCCTTTCTACGTTACATTCGATCTGTTCACAGTGGTATTCCAAGGAAACATTAGTTGAGGGGGGTGTCCAGGGACCACAACACATTCACTCGAAAGGGTGTATGATTGTCCATTCTAAATGAAATGAGGTTTCCTCTTTACTGACCCCGTTTGGACTAATGAAGTCGTTAACATAGTGCAGTGTGAAATGAGGAAAGTGTTGACAGTCCAAATCTCTGCCGACAGGAAGTCGGTTCGTTTTCCCACTATTCAATCAGGCAGCTGGTAAAGTTTGTTTAGTGCTTTCAAATGCGCATCAAAAGACCTTCCCCTTTTTATGAAATTCTAAGTAATTTTCCTTTCGGGCATTAATTATAAAACTCGCTTTATTTCATTTTTATTAATTATACTAAAAGAAAAATTAAAAACCTTATGTTGAGATGTAAAAGCTAAAAGTAACGTAGCTAATGTGAACCTGAATTAATGATAATCATTGTGGAATCCACTATAAGTGTTTAAATTAGATTAAAAGCTGATAAAAGATTTTAAAAACTGGACTCTTTTTACGTCATGCTCCCTTTCTCTCAAATGTTGAATTCAGAAAGGTCGCTCATATGAAACACAATTATTTATCGTTTTACTAAATTCACCACACTTTTTTGTTGTACAATTTCTTTAGTTCATCGACATCCTTGCACTGGGTTACGGGGTAACAGGTTTGTAGGTCTGTCCCACATCTCGCCGGGAGATACTAGTGTCACGGTTTGATACACTCTCTAAATGAAGTGTAATATTTGTTTTTAGGTTACCTGTACCGACTCAGCGGCGCCATCATCAATAGTTTACCTTTGGAACAAAATAAAGGAGCTAAAAAAGATTTTCTGAAAGTTATTACCAAACCTTTTACAACTTTAATTATCCAGGTAAAGCCCTTTTATAATCAAGACTATATGAAATAAATCCTGGTACAGTAGCACTTTGATTCATGCTTGCTGTCGTTTCTTGGGAACCAGGATCAGTGGAAGTGATGTTTTTTTTATTTTGAACATTGCATAAAATAACCCACGAGTAGTATACGCTATAAATGGTACAGTGTAAGCTATCGAAACGTTGTATATCATAACAGACAATGATTACCAGTATTAAGTATCTGACCACAAAAGGCTGTAAAGCCCAATCGTTGAGGACGTGATCCAGAGCCTTTGTTAATTTTCGATCTTTATCTCATAATTTGTCTTGTAGGTTGACAGTAAAGCCATCAATAAGATTGCTATATCTGAAAAGGCATCACATGAAGTCAAACTGATGAAGAGCTGCTGTGACAAGACGAAGCCATTGGCATGTTGTGAAGGCGTGTTGGGTGACACTTCCTGGTTTAATGACAGTATATTAGAATACGACGTATCGCACCGTAGCCAATTCTGTAACGCTATGGGTAGCAAGTGTGTTGTGAATGGTGATGCCTACCAACAACCTTGTATGACCTCCTGGTTGAACTCGACCTATGAAGATATCAAAATCAATTCCACAGACCACGGTGCTTTTAGTTGTTCTAATTGGACAGTTAATCAAGATCTTACTTGCTATAGCGAATGTAAGTGTCTTTTAGACTGGTTAAAAGCCATCTTTAAACTTTAATAATACATAGTCCAATTGACGAATCTTTTCATCACTTCCGGTCTTCATCACCTCGCAACCCTAGCTTCCATGATCACTTGCATGTACATGGGAAAGGGATGTTCTTAGAAAAGTCTCACATGGAGATTGTGATATCGCTTAGACAGTATTTAAATAAAGAGTGACCACGTTCTTTTTTATTGTCATTCGGACATGTACCTGCTAACAATTCCAAGATAAATCTCCTTTTATTAAGCAGTCATGATTCGTATCACCTAAAGCTAAAACATATTTCCCCTCACCGACTTCTCTCTTTAAACAATGTTACAAAATATGTCGTTTATTTTTTCAGGTAACTACCTATTTAAGGGGCTGATTGGAGAGATCAGTGAAGAGGCTATAGGAGCTATATTATTAGTGCTGTCTCTCATCATTCTGTGTCTCTGTTTAGTATTTATGGTCAAGCTCCTCAATCTGTTACTCAAGGGACAGATGGCTTTAGTCATCAAAAAATTCATCAACGCAGACTTCCCAGGATATTGTTCATATTTTACCGGTTACATCGCCATTTTGTTGGGTGCTGGATTCACCATACTGGTCCAGAGCAGCTCCATCTTCACGTCCTCCATTACCCCGTTAGTTGGAATGGGAGTTATCGAACTTGATCGTATGTATCCTCTGACCCTCGGAGCCAATATTGGTACCACGACGACTGGAATCCTATCAGCACTCGCTCAAGACAGTGACAAGCTCGCCGATTCCTTACAAGTCGCCTTCTGTCATTTGTTTTTCAATATTTCTGGTATCTTGTTGTTTTATCCCTTCCCTTTCTTCAGACCACCTATTCCATTAGCTAAATTTTTAGGCAATGAAACCGCCAAGTATCGATGGTATGCTATTATGTATATCTTCCTAATGTTCTTTATATTCCCGGCCATTGTTTTCGCCTTGTCTGTACCAGGCTGGTATGTGCTAGCAGGAGTGTTGTGTCCCATTGCTCTTTTTATCATAATAATCATGGTCATCAAACTTATTCAAAGAAAAAGACCCGGATGTCTTCCCCCATTTTTGCGCAACTGGAAATTCCTTCCAAAATTCTGTCGATCTTTAGAACCTTATGATTACGTGTTTGGTTGTCGGTGCTGTAAAAAAAAGGAAGTAGTAAATGATGGGACAAAATCAAATGGCGTCCAAAATGGACACACGAGCATTCCTATCACAGCTGGCAGTAACACCACCGAGCAAAATACACACATGTAAAATAGCTGATATACTTTTATTCTGTGATAAATTTGTTTCAATATTTTTAATGATAAACCATTTTATGGCTACGTTCAAAGCCTCTTAAACTACGGCGACGCAATGATGGGCCGATAATGGCAAAGCTGGACCTGGTATGGCAAAGTTAAACCATTTAAATTAAGCTAGTTATGGCAAGCCATATATATGAACACTTGGTTATTGAACTGCTTTAAATTTGCAATATGAATTTTGGATTCAAAATGTATGGATGGGGAAATATCATATTACAAATTCCTAATTTGTAATTTGGTCACAATTCGACCAAACGGGACCTAAAACTTACTTGTACCAATTCTTTGATTTTAAATTGAATAAGCTCTTTTTTAATTCACAAAATTTGTGCACATTTTAGAAATGTATTTATTATCACCCTAACATCTGTATATTGCTCGTCATTTTGTTACAAATTCATTATTTTTGCAAGAACACTCACATATAAAAAAGTGTATATTTGTTATTTTAATGTTGGTAAGCCTAGTTTGAATAAAAGGCGTTTATCATTATTTTTGTTGGCGTGAAAAGTGCTTTCTTTGAAATATGGAAGACATTACTGTCTTAGTTACAATATGAAATGCACTGGCCGAAATAAGACACTACACTTTATCAAAAGATCAATACTTGCATTTTCTCACAGATCGATCGATTAAAATAGGCAACTTCGCCAATTTTTAATGGCTTAACCATAATATTTTGAATGTTCTTAATTTTTTTAATGTTTTTGCCCTAAATTTGTTTTAAAATTGGGTCGAACGGTCGATGATTTTTATCGTTTGTGACACCTAGAGTCGCCTATCCTTTTTACCCATTAGGGCAAGCTATTGTCTATGTCAAATTTTTAAATGATTGCCTTTTTAAAGGGGGATTATATGGTTGGTGGGTGTTTAGCCAACCTCGTCATCTAATGACATCCTAAATTACATCAAAGAAATTATAGACTGGACGAGCTGGCAGGCTCAATAAAGTTTTGCTTCGACCAATGTTGTAATTTTTGCTGATTAGATTGTTTTTTTGATATGTTTTTTAAATGGACGAAAGCCTCCAACTGATAAAAATCAATCTCGTACCGGAAGTTTAAATGGTCGAGTTGTCGATTTGAACAGGATAGAGTAAGAGCAATTTTACTTTTTTTAGGGTTAGTCGTAGTCTTAGTTTCGAGTCTGTTTTGACAGACTACACTGTTTGCCAACCGTACATTCAAATAATAAAACAAACTAAATCGCTTATATTGACTGTTATAAAATCGAATTATTAGGCCTCTGGGGTAGTGTACGTTTTCTTTGCTATTTTATCAAAAATTAAAAATACACTAATGCGGTTATATTGACTGTAAAGACTTATAGCTATAACGCCTATAGGGTAGTGTATCTATTATATTACATGACAATTTTTAAATAAAACGAATATCTAGATAAGCCTCTAGAGTGGTGTATCCTGTGAATTACTTGTACATGGTAATTTTGATATTAGTGTGTATAAAGTTAAGTTTGTATATTGTTATTTATTTACGACTATATTTAAAGAATATATTTTTACATATTGTTATTATTAACTTGACATTATTTTCATAAAGTTTCATATGTATATAATAAACATATTTTGATAAAGTTTGGTTTTGTCAAGACCGTAGCTACAGGAAGGGGGGTGGGGGTGGGCTGTCTCCTTGAAAAATATCTGACAGCCGACCAATTCAACCACACACCATTGACCCTCCGGATATATTACTTGCCCCTCCGAGCAAATCATGTCTACCTGCTCTCAGAAATGAAATATCACTGATTGGGTCAAAGAAATACATACGCTCCTGGTATTACAGACAAAATGAATTGTAATTTTCTGTCCTATCGTTCTGTATCATCTTGGTCTAAACTTCAAATTGCTCTGCTACTTTAGGCATAGCCTACATGTATGTAGGGGATATACTTGAACACCAACCTCAATATCAATTCTGAATTATGTGTTAGAAAGGCTGGAGATATATTCGAAGCTTTACAAACATCAGACCTAGTCCGAACCATCTGCCTCTTTTCCAGCCTCTGATAGATATTATGACAGTTATCGGAGTAGACAGCCTACAACTGATATCAGAAAATTTGCAGATAGACTTCATGTCTATTTTGTTAAATTTGGAAATATATCCGCAATGGCATAATGTGTCTAACACCATTTGTTAGTAGGCTACCCCTCAGAAAAAAATGGCTTTAGGCTTTCTGCTAAAATAAATAGGCCTAATATTGGTGAATAAGTGGGGAAATCTTACTCGAAAGTTTACTATAGGTGTTCTAACATGCCGCAAATAAGTCAAATACAAGAAAATATGCTACTGATAGGCAACTATCTGTCAAATAAAAACACTCTAGTTAATACCGAGGGAATATAACGGCTGTGGGCTGAAGCCTACGGTAAACCTAGAGTTACGAACCTTTGAATATTGACTGGTTTAACTAAACGCACTGCCTCAAAGTTATATGCAAAATCTGAGCCTTTGCAACGTGATAACTAAAAAAAGTTGTGATCGAAAATGCTGGAGTGTAATCATTAGAATTTTAATATTTCAATATTCAAATAATTACATTCGTTTACCATATTTGATTCAAATTACATTTCTGTCACTATATGATAAACAAACAAGTCCATTAGTTTCATTTCCGCTTCCGCCAATAAGTTCCTATTATCCAGCCAGAATTTACAATGTAAATACTATAGCGGTCTTTCGAATCGAGACTTGGTGATTTGTTAGTTTCATTCACATTCTAGATTTCACATACAACAGGATCATTTCACGTCCATTCTCAAAATCAAAATGGTTTTTAAGAGAATGTGGAACTTCATATCATTCTGGTACTTCCAGTATACATTAGTCACCTCCTTGTACATGTTAGAACCACTGGAAAGACGAGTTTTTAGTATCCTTTTAAGTTTAAGTTATGATCGGTTGGTAAAAAGGTGTGGTGGGGCTTCTAGTTCATGCATCATGATCTATTTCTGAACACCCAGATCTCTGACGTGAGGGTTGTGAGCTTATTGACTAGCTGATAGCTTTGACAGTGCAGTCAACTAACCCCAATTAGCTTCTGGTCGGTTCAAATTGGCTCTAGGACAATCTTACCATGTTAAGTAATTTTTACACATGATGAAACTTCACCAACCCAGCGTGTCTTTCAGCCATGGTTATTCTTTAGGATTTCCGAATGACAAATGGCGATCTCTTGTTTCTGGTGGAATATTGGACAAATCGACCAGGAGGCTATTGTCTGAGCAAGATCGTTCGATACGTTTTTATTTTGAAGTTTGCCAATTTTTCCAATTTGAAGAGAAGGGTCAAATTCAAAACAGTAGGCCTACAGATAATCTTACAATGACATGTGTATATTATACTGAAAATTTGCTAAAATAACCTGTACCTAGAGGACTCACTTGGACTAGCTTTTAGAACTTTGTATGTTTGTAACTTTGTAAAACTCTATTCATTTTATTTCAATATTTCCTTAACGCGATTTTTAGATGCAATTTTAGTAGCTGTTTTATCAATGTTCTTCTACACAGCCTATCTATTCCTTCCCGGACACGCTCTTATGATGTACAACTTCGCTCGCTATCTAATGGGCCATGTGAATAGCACACACGAGGAAATGTGACAATTACTGGATAGATATAGTATGGTGAATATTGATGTGTAAAGGATGAGAGAGATGTGAATAGAATCTTCAAACTACAGTGGTATAATCAAGCGCAGATAGTTTTTCTCATCAGAGTCCGATTCAAAACATAACATGAGCAATCCACTCTCAACTATGCTGACTAAACATACATTGTGTTCATAACTATTTAAACTGTTTACAAGACATAGAATAAGGTATAGGTAAAGAAGCTTTAGATATATAGATGGATATACAACTATTTCGTTGAGTTAATAAATGTCAGAAATAGTATATCTATATATCTTGTGTTTCTTTAACTATTTAACCAACCTAACAATATATTGGATTGCTCATATTTTTATTTTAAATCGGACCTGGATAAGCAAAAATATCACTGCTTGAACTTTATATGTGAATATGAATGAAAATCTTATAGCTGATTAAAATAATTAAGCTTGTGTATGTGTGGCATCTTTCTACAGAGAAACGAAGACTTAAGTTGGATTTTCTCACTGTTTTGTGAGGCTAGTGAATGAAATATTTTACAATCTAATGTTAATTTTAAAAAGATTTTAATAACAGCAAATTTTACCTACTGAATACTACTCTAATTCTTAGTATGGATGATTTGTTTTATATATTTTTTCTGTGGTTATCTCCACCTTCCAAAAGTAATGATCTGCAGGAAAAAAGCAAAATGAAACATTCAGGCACCCTTCTTCAATATCTATTGAACTATGATAAAATCAGTTTTTTTAATAAATACATTGTTATTATTAATTGTGTGTAAGAATATTTGTAAAGGAAGCTCGGTATCAAACCTGTTTTATGTTAATTGTATGATTTATTTATTTATTCTTTCATATTTTCTGTAATAAATTGACTTTTATATTACTATGGTAACTTGTATTTTGCATATTGAATACTGTTACAACTGGTCCTCTTTACTGGACCACAGTTTATTAGTAGCTTTTACAAAGTGGAATGACCTCGAGTTGTCCTACTAAAATTTGGAATGGTGCAAATCAGTAATTCTCCACTGAGAAGTAAAGTAAAGCTAGCTCTTTTTCAGTTCCCAAACAGTATTGGTTAAGCGATTTACCCACTGGAAACGCACGAAAGCCTGCTTAAAGCCAGATTTTTCCCTCAGTGGAAACACAGTTATTGTTATTGTCTCCTGTTACACATAGACATATGAAATAATAATAAACACAATGGAATATGTTTAAGTTTCACACTTCTTTAATAAAAGTTACAAGGTTCATAATGTTTCTGAATCAACACAATTAAACATGTTGTTCGTACAATATGTAAAACAAGTAGTAAGTTGCATAACTTCTTTCCACTTTCAACAAATAATACAATCTAACTCACTGAATGTATGAAAAAGTTAAATATATTCTCATCCATTCACACTAGTATTAAATGCCCACTTTCAAATAAGGATTAAAATAATGAACAATGTATATTTTCCCTGACTAGAATTTTGAGTAATTTTTAAAAGAATTTAATCAACTGTTTTTTCATTTATAACAGTTTAAAGGAATATCGAGACATTCATATCAAAAAGTTGATAAAATGTCCTAAAATTAGTAATTTTCGTTGATATGCCTTCTTGAATTATCAACAAACATTTAATACTAGCTTTAGTCAGTATTATGTTAGATAATATTTCTTTAGGAGAGTATCTTCTTTTATGGCACTGAACAAAACTTCAACTGGCACCAGTGGTAGATTGTCATCTCCCTAGGCTGAGTGCCTAGATATACAGAACTACGCGCCTGACCTAGTTACCAGAATCAGTTTTGTTGTTTCCATGTAAGAACGACTCATAATTTCATATGCTTTCTGGAGTCCATCAGGTGTCCAATCTCAACCAAAAATAAGCTAAAAACTTAAAATACACAACTCAAAAATCATCCCTCTAACAAATACGACATCTGCTTCACTCTATGTAGAGCAGTGTTACAAATTAGCACCCAACACCCGATTCCAACGCCTCCTGATATTCCTGTAGGCATGGCAACCAGTCTACTAAAAGGTATAAACCAGTCTGATGGGAAGTTAACTAAAGGTTCCGCTCTGTAATATATCACTATGGATAACATCGTTATCGCGTGTAACACGTTTATCCCAATCTTCACCCCAAGTTTAACGTAATTTATATTCTGCTGTCTTGGGTTCCCTAACGCTTTTATTTCAGCTAAATTTTTATCGATCCTCCTTTGAAGCTTCATATATTTAGCGAATTCGTCTGCCATGCTGACTGATTCTTGTTCAGTTTTCAAATCCTTGGCCTGGGCTCGTAAATTCAATTCCTCATCAGTGAGTTTAAAGATTTCTCGACTTATTTTGTTTGACAGCCAGTTGGAATAAGACGGAAGAATCTTAAAAAACACAACTAACAAAAACACAAAAATTACCAAAAACATTTTTGGTCTACCTGAAAAGATAAATGTTTAATGATTATGTACTAGACAAGGACCTGTAAATGACAGGCCAAGACAATGGAATTTTAGAATATCATTATGAAAGCTTATTCAAATTTTCATACTGCACATACTGGACATTGTTTAAAAAAAAAACATGGCTCACATATACTGCTGTGTCTCACCGGACCGCAGGGTTAAAATATAATTACATTGTGCTGAATGAGATATTTGGTGTTGATTAGTTGAGGAAGGATAAATGATTCATTAAATTGTTTCTATTCAATGTAAATAAAACTTTTCTCACAAAACATTTTTTGCACTTGTTTGTGCCAGGATTCAGACAGTAAGCTGAACTGTAGCTACTGGAGGCTTTAGTTCTTATGACATTGACCCCCGCTTTTGGGTCTGCTTTCACCAGCTATTCTTTTAGACAGTTCATGTGGTAGCCTGTATCAAATTTTACAAACGCAAAGTCAATCTAGGACAACTTCTAGGACTATCAGTAGTCCTACTGTTCTTAAACTTATATTCAAATTCATTAAACTAAAATGGACAAAATTCGATAAACCAACGAACACAATAGGGTTAAGATAAGCCAATATGGCTATTAAGGAGTATTATGACATTATTCAAAGACAAATTATTGATATGATAATCAAAATTGTTTTCATTCATTTCTAAACACCAAGCTTAACGTTAACAACCGATCATTCATTGCATAGTGTGTTAGATATAGGTATAGCCTATTCTTAATAAAAAGAAAGCGGAAATAATTCTTGAATAGGTGAATTAATTGACAACTAAACTAAAGACCTTTTTTAATCTTGGCTTGCCTTGTTTACATTCCTTGAAATTTGTCACGTGATTGATATCAGCTCTCTTTGAAGAAAACCAGAAAACGTCTATCAGTAAGTCACATGATCATCATCATGGCGGCGAATACAGTCGAGATAACGGTTTTGCTGCTGTTTTCGTTAATAAATGCTTCTTTGGGAGTAGTGTCAGTTGATTTGAATGGCGTTTGGCAAATATCAAATGAAAACCGAGGTGAGCAAGAAATATTTTTCTTTCATGGGCCATAAACTAGATAACATTAGGCCTATAGTAGACGATTAAAAAATTATTTATTGCTTGTACTTGTGGTTCTGGCTTGATAATGCTGTAGCTCATTAGGTAGTCTCTAATCTTAAAAGTATCTACCCCAATGTTTGTAATACAGGCCAGTGTTGAGTTAGATTTTATTAGCATATTCTAAAAATATATTGTCACATCTGTGGGAATCAAACTGTAAAAGTAACAGATAAATTTGATGTCATTCCAAGTAAAAATCACCACGATCTAAGTCTATGATTACTATTTAATATTGATGTAGATATATAAGAGAATGAAGATCTTTAAGAATGGAAGCTTTATATTAGTCAATGCTATTATCTAAAAAGACCTTTTATAATCAAACATTCTCTGAAATTTCAGGACATCAAATCAATGGAACTGTGCCAGGAACTGTTCATTTGGCTTTATACCAGAATAAAATGATCCAGGATCCCTACTATAGAAACAATGATGCTAAATACAGGTGGATAGGACTAGATGATTGGACGTACACCAGAAAATTTCAAGGTAGATTGATCTGTAAATTTTCTTTGTAATATTCAAATTCCTATTTGTTATATTTTCTTCAGTAAACTATGTACATGACCCTTAAGTCTTTTATTAGAGAGAAAATTACGAATAATGTAAACGCCTTCATGATGCTCTGTCATATTAAAGAATTCTTTGACCATTGGAACGCTTCAAGAGTTCTTTAAAGACATTTTCAGGAAGAACAAAAAAAGAAATTCATATCTATTTCAAATCAATCTCATTCTTGCAGTTTGAAATAATAACTAAAATAAACTTTTCCTATGGCATAGCTTTAAAATGTCATGTACCAGCCTGTTTAAAATGATAAAATTCTGTATCTTTCAGTCAGTACTAGTGTATTTAACAGTAAAAGGGTTATATTAGTAGCTGATGGATTAGATACATTTTCTACTGTGTATATCAATGGACAGTCAGTGGGTGTATCAGATAATATGTATATGAGATACGAGTACGACATTAAGAATGTTATCAAGGTTAGTGAGCTACTGGAATTTCTATCTCTGATTATGAGATTATGATAAGCTACTTGGATACTCAAATATTTGTGCCAAATTTCAAAGTTTCTATTTGAATTTGTATCATTTTAGATAAACCTAGAAAATTGATATTTACATTTTGAATTTTTTTTCGTTTTAAAATAGTTTTGATAGGTGTTTTGTCAGATTGAAATGAAACGAGATTAAGAAAAAATAAGAAATTGTTGGTTAACCCAGAGACATTTATTTATGATTTTATTTGAAATCACTTAGATTCTTGCCTTGGCATCTAAGATTCATATACAAAATGACAGACAATGTAAAGTGTTTCTTCGCTTAATAAAGTCAAATATCATTCTGTTTATCTTCAGAATGGAACCAACACAATAGAGGTAAAATTCCGATCAGCTGTGAAGGAGGCTGAGAAACTGGCCAAGGCTTCGTCTTATAATATACCTCCAGATTGTAAAGACCCAGCCCAACATGGTGAATGTCACGTACAGTTTATTAGAAAAGCTCAGTGCTCCTTCAGTTGGGATTGGGGTCCATCTTTCCCAGTTCAGGGAATTTGGTTAGTCTCCTCTTTAGATGTTGAATTGTCATATAAAAACAATAAACTTCAGTAAAAATAACTTTTCTGTCTTTGGTATAGAATTTTAAGATAATAGGTTTATGACGTCAGACCAAACGAAAAAACCAAACTTTATCAATGAAAAAAGAACTATGAAAATCTTCAGAAATTTTTTGAGTTAACAAATCTAGTTCAGTTGTAGATTGGCATAAGGTGTTCCAAAAATGTCTGTATCTCACCAGTGACTCAAGACTCTTTATTTTACAGGAAAAATATTTATATTGAAAGTTTTGATTCTGCTGTAATTAGAGAATTCTCAGCTTTACCTTATAAAAGTAAGTAATTAAAATATTGTAGCTGATATGACAGGATGAATTTCTTTCTCTCAGTCGATGGGAAAGTTATTAAAAAGCACCTATCTGAAATCAAGCAAAATATAAAAAGAAAATACTGGATACCATGGATACAACTGCAAGGAGATTTATTGCATAATTTAAGAAATGTAAATTGTCTTTCTTCCCAAGCTTCAAATAGATGATATCCTGGATCTAATTTTCAAAGAAACAAAAAGTTTAATTTCCAGACAGATTTTCCAAACACATACAATAACATTTCTAGGACAAAAATTCATTCATGGTTTGTGTTAACCTTTAGGTAAAGTATGTCCTATTGTTATTATCTAGATAGTAATAATACATGGAGTGTGGATGTGGAAGTGTATTTTGATGTTATAAAGGGTAGTGTTACTGGTTCTCTAGAGACAGTATTAGATACAACTCCACCAATACGACTAGTGACTGATATTAAACTTACTAACGTTGAAAATGGTGCCAAATATACCATCAATGTACCGAAGGTAAATTTAAGCAACAATTGCAACTTTGAGTTGTTAATTTGACCATTAATTATAAACATATCGTCATAATAGGAATATAGATTTTTTTTAAAATCTTAATCTTGAGTCAAGAGCAACATTACTCCCAAAATCTTTTTTTTTGTGAGTATTCAGTTGTCAACCAAATATCGCCCTAAGATGTTATCAGCTTTTGGAATCATAATAATTTTGTTGAGGATTTAAATGGAATCAAAAAAGTAAAGTTTCAAGAAAATGGTTTCTTATAAGAAATAGGAATAATGTGATTTGATTTGATAACAGTCTAATTAAAATTATTAAAAATAAAAGCTAATAAAAAAAAGGAAAGAAGGTTTGGTTTAAGTTTGATTAGACTGATTTGATAATGTTCTTGTTGCATTGAATATACCTTAATCAATTTATTTTATTTCAGGATACCCCAGTAGATTTATGGTGGCCCAACGGTTACGGCAAACAGTCTCTATACAAACTATCAGTAAACTTCACTGGAAATACAGGACTAAAAGAATCATCAACCAGGACTATTAAAATAGGATTCAGAACTGTTGAAATAGTACAAGATCCTGTTTCATTAGCCAACAAAACATATGGTAATAATGAACTTATGAACTTGAAAACTTATTTCCAGGTGTTCTAAAAGACTGAACAATCTGTTCTTAAAATTAACTAAAATTTTTCCTTGAAGATGAGACCGTGAATTGGTTAAAATGTTGTGTCGAAAAATAAAACTGCCGAGACATGTTAACCTTCACAATTTCAATGCCTAGACTTATATGATTTTATTATTGAAGAGGGAAGCTTTGACCACAATGGCTGTATATGACTACATTTTCATGAAAAAGTGCTATTTTTTGTAGACTTTTGTCTTGAAGAACATGCTTTGCTTCTGTACGATAAAAAATTAGAATTTTGCCATGAATAAAAAACTATACTCTGTCTTTCAGGTCTATCATTTTTCTACAAAGTAAACGATGTACCAGTATTTTTCAAGGGAACTAACTGGATTCCGTCAGACAGTTTCCTAGAAAGAGTTACTGATAATAAAATCTATGCATTACTCAAATCCGCTGCAGAAGTTCATATTAATTCGATGAGGGTATGGGGAGGAGGGGTAAGTATGGGCTTACAACTTGAAGATTTTGAAACAGAGTACTCTTCTCTTATATCATATATTTGTGTGTATAATGCACAGTTTTTACCCCACAAAGGAAGCTGGTAGTGTGAATAATAGACATTTTATCCCCAGTCACCTTTTTTCTCTTACCCATGAAAAAGCATGCTTAACCGAGGGGGAGGGTAAATAATAGACAGCCTTGAATAACTCTTGTGAGAAGTAAGTGATTTTGAAGTTGGTAATACATATATATTCCAGGTTTATGAAACAGATTATTTCTACCAGTTAGCAGATGAGTTAGGTATTATGATTTGGTCTGATTTTATGTTTAGTGTGGCTCTATATCCAACTAATACAGCTTTCTTACTATCTGTTACCATAGAAACCAGACAACAAGTTAGTTCACTTTTATATTGTTTAATTCGCTGATAAAAATCCAAGTGTTTTATGAAATCAATATCACAAAGTCCTTTTAGCAGCTTTTGCAATAGTGCTGGATATTGGAAATGATGCAAATAGAAACCATAATGGCCTTGATATACATGGAAAGCTAGAAATCCTTTTTACAATCCCTTTAAGTGTAAATAACCTTGTCTGTGTAGTTGAATCCCCATTGTAAGTAGACCTATTCTCTAGTCATTATTAATAATAAATCTTTGAATATTAAATATATTTATTGACATCTTTATTCAGATACGAAGATTAAAATATCACCCGTGTATCGCTGTCTGGGCTGGAAATAACGAGAATGAACTAGGATTAAGACAAGGATGGTTAGTTTTAAATTTACTCAATTTCTGATATTTTTTAATCCCATTGTCTTGTCTTTCTGTCAGCAACTTTTAGACAATTAGGGAAGTAAACTTTGTATAACTTGATCATTAAATGGAATTGTCTTATTTTTAAAGTAAACATTTTAAAAAATTAAATCACAACAGCATATTTTGCAAACAGACATGACTGACAAATACAGCTCATGAGAATAAATCTTCTGTTAAATTGTTTCTCAGAAAGCGAATTATTAGTGTTACCAGTCTGATTAAAATTAGACCTAATTTCCGTTCGTATATTATTAGTTTTGTTTCGAATGTATTATTAGCTATTAACTTTGTACCTAACCACTACAGTAAGGTCTAACATTGTCCTTCTTGACTTTTCATTCTGTTGACCTTTACTTGACCTCTGTTTAAACCAATCACGTGACTGCCCTTTGCAGCGACGGGATAATGTGATGCGAGCAATAGGTGCATTCTGAGGCTTATTAGACTAAGTTATCAAGTTCGCTCAAAGTAAAAGTAGTCTTATACGCCTCGGAATGCACCTATTGTTTGATTTTGTCGGCTTTTAGACTTTGACTTGAAGTTTGGACAAGTGTATAATAGTGGTTTTGAGAAATATAAGTCAGTTTTATTTCCTTATAATTTGAATATGATGTTTTATTATCTAGGTATGGTGTAAAAGCAGTAGATCCCTATAAAAGTGATTATATCAAGTTATATATAACAACTATCGGTAACGTGGTAAAACAGGAAGATAAGACCAGACAGTATCTATCTTCCAGTCCTTCAGATGGTGTGTATACTAAACAACAGGGCGGTATAGCTCAAAATCCTGCCTCTGAATTCTATGGTGATGGTACGTAAACTGATTTGATATTTTGTATGAACCTGTTCGTCGGGGCCTCAATCCTTAAGAAATCTTACAATCAATTTCTCAAAAAGTCCACATTCACTATCTTATAATAAGATTTTTCAAGGAACAGGTCCCTGATCTGTAATTGATCTAAATACTGCAGCAGGTTTTGCAACCAAGGCAGGGAATGCTCAATTTTCCTGAACACAAATGCTTCTCCTGATTGATATTGTCTTAGCACTCCTTTTGAATAGTCCACAAGGCCAGTATCAAACGCCCTAACTTGAAGTTAAAAGTAAAGCACTGAAAGTAAAGAGTCTTGCTACATTGAAATCTTGCTTTACGGAAACTGCTGAGGATTTCCAAATGGGCCAATATTGCTTATTTGGTTTATTTTTTTTATTACATGTAATAGAGATTCAAGATTAACAATTAGATATTGACAAAACAGACATTGAATTTCCATTCTTAAAAAGGATATGGTCAGCTATATTGAGTTCTAACTACTGGGACAGCAAATATCTAGATATCAATATCCCTTCAATGAATATTCTTCTAATTATATTTATTTCAGTTCACTATTATAACTATATTAATGATCTCTGGAACTGGGAAACTTATCAGATACCAAGATTCGCCTCCGAGTATGGAGCTCAGTCCTGGTGTAATTATGAAACTGTAGAGAAAGTATTTGAAGCTGATGATTTAGATTATTGGTCTGATATGGCAGAATGGAGACAACATCATGGACTAGGTAGGTTGAAATAATAGTTATAAAAAAAATAAATTGGTAGTTCAAGGAACAAGCTTAATCACATTTTGTCTGACTGAGAAGTAATGTTCTCATGATCAGTTGGGCACTGGTGGGCCCAAGGAAACCTATTGGTCCAAGTGCCTAGAGCACCCAGTCCACCCCTATTTCTAGTTATATGAGAGTGTCTGTTTCTATATTTCAGGTAATATTGAGATGATTGTTCAAGCTATGTTACATTTTAAACTTCCTAATTCTTCCAACAGACAACAGCGATTTGATGATTTGATTTATATAACACAGGTAAACTTATAAGGTAGAAATGAGTTGACTTATGCATCTGTCCTGGCAAAAAAATTCTCATTGCATAAATGTAGGAAGTAAAACTCCATTCATTTCGTTTCATTATTGATTTTGAAATGGAGTTGACAAACCTAAATACTAAATAAACTATATTAGCTATGTGAACTCTCTGAAAGGGATACGGAATAGATACAAGGATATAATTATATTAATATATTTCTAGATACATCAAGCCATGGCTATGAAAGTTGAAACAGAACATTATAGAAGATTAACTAATGAATTATTTGATGATGGCAGGGGATTAACTATGGGGGCGTTATACTGGCAACTCAATGATATCTGGCAAGCTCCAACTTGGGCTTCCATAGGTAAGACCCCTTTATTTCTTGTCACTCTTAAAAGAAAGAGCAACAACTTTCTTACAAGCACAACAACTTGAGGATCCTGTCTACCAGCTGGTCCTTGACCAAACCTCTTGGCATAGATCTTACCAGGATAACAACCTAGGTTCACAAGGATCCTCTTTACCAGCTGGTCCTTTACCAAACCTCTTGGCATAGATCTTACGAGGATAACAACCTAGGTTCACAAGGATCCTCTTTACCAGCTGGTCCTTTACCAAACCTCTTGGCATAGATCTTACAAGGATAACAACCTAGGTTCACAAGAATCCTCTCTCTACCAGCTGGTCCTTGACCAAACCTTTTGGCATAGATCTTCTTGGCTTAACGGTGACCATTTACAGCTAGGTCAACAGGAATAATGAAGATAGATGACCTATTCACCAGACAGAGAAAGACACTCTTGTACATCATGAACTACCAAAGATTTGGGTCATGTTTTTGATTGCATGTGCATGTCAATAAGACAGCTCCCTCTATCCTAGAAAAGTTCCTTCCATTGTGTACTGTCTTTCAAGTATTAATTGCAAATTTTTAAACTGAAGACATTATTTGTTAAATTAGAATTTTATCTTTGTAGATTATGATTTAAAATGGAAAATGATCCATTACTATGCTCGACATTTCTTCACCCCCAATTTGATTTCCCCGTTTGTGAACGGAAGTAATTTAAATATCTATATGGTGAACGATGAGATACCCAACGATGTTCATCGAACACAAAATGACCTACAGGGTCTTGAATTTAGAGCTGTCAATGATTTGAAACAATTGCAGAAGTTGTATCCATCCAAAATGGCTACCACTATGATGAAAGCTGTGACCATGGCAACAGATAATTTAGTTATTATGGAGTTGTACACATGGGATAATTTCTATCCCCTGAAATCTTGGAATATTCCTTATAAGGTAAGGAACAATGTGCAAAGGCTTAGATGACTATAAGATGGTGTCTTATTGCATACTGTAGTCTGATTCATTAGATTAGTTTTGAGAAGACAAGCAGCTCCATTTCATTATATATTAACTTCTTTTGTCTTACTAGGTTAGAAAATTCTGACAATCTCATTCCCCCCCCGCATTCCCCCCTCAGATATAAACCTGGCTCTACCACTACAACTGGCTCCATTTCATGATATAGTAACTTATTTTGGCTATTGGATTCTTGCTCAGTAATATTGTTTCAAACAATCAAGATGATACCCTCTGGTTTTCCATGTAGGTCGGAGGGGCAGAAAAAGTCCTCATGTGCTACAGGCAGTGCATGTTTAGTTTAAACTTTCTTAACAGTTGGGAATCAAAAAAAAAAAATGCCTGCCTTTATTAGTCTTTTCATGTGCAGAACAATAGGAAGTAAAACTCCATTTCATTTCAGTTAAACAGAACTTCAGGTTTGATATTTGAAAAGGACCTGGAATCGGTATTAAATGAAGGGAAATGTACAGATAAAAAGAAATGTTTTCTCTATTTTTATTTGAATTCTAAATCTCATCCAGTCAGTGTAAACTGGCTGCCATTGTCTTATTTTACTGGTAACGATCTCACAGCTTCACTTGGACTTCATAAAGCTCAAATAATGGTGAGTAAGTTCTGTCTGTCAATTGAACAGTGCAGAATAAGATATGTTCAATAAAAATCAGTAGCAAGACAAAGTTGTACAGTAGTGTAATATAACACAAGACAATAATTATGAGATTAAACACACTTCTTTTATTCTTATATACGTGCTCCTCTCTTCTAAACGTTGTTCAAATCTTGTATAGTAGTGGATTCGTTCAAAGAGAAGTACCATCAGGTGTTTCAAAAAGAGTAAGTATGCTCTGCTTTGCGCATGACACCTGCCACTAGGTTAACATCGCATCAAGACTTCTCTGAAAATATTACTGCCTGTTTCTCTTCACCCAATTACAAATGATAATACTTCATTCATTCATTGTTTCATTTTTGCCATTGTTTCTGTTTTCAGATAACGGATGTGACTGCAATTTCTGCGACAGAATTCAACATAATTCTGGCCACCAATACTGTGGCACCCTTCGTTTGGATAAATGCACAAGGAATTTCTGGACGGTTTTCAGATAATGGTTTCCTAATGAAAGATCCATTGATGCAGTTGAAATTTACAGCATGGCAACCTGTTAAACCGGACGACTTCAGAGATTCTCTGACTGTCAAATCTTTGATGGATATTTATCATTAGTATAAAACCTGTAGATCTCATTTTTTACAAATGTGTCCTAGGTCACTTGCTCAAATTTTAGAAAAAATTCATATCTGTGATATCTGCAACTGAATAAAAATAACACCATTATGACTACAGACATATTAGCCTTGTGTCACAACTGTGAAATAAACAGCAAAACTGGTAGCCCCTATCATTCAGTTCCACTTTGTCTATGTACAACTGCTACAAAGAATGGCCTAGAATATTTCCCTGGTATATTTATAATTGACTGAGTCTATATTGGCTATTGAATGTGATTAGTTGATAATCTATATTTGCTTGGTGTAGGGCTTTCGTGTAATTTCTATAATTATGACCACAACTACAAAACTGGAGGGTAAGAAGGGGTGGGCATTATATTTGCAATTATACAGTATATGATATATACTTGGAACTACGGTTTTCATGCAATTTCCTGTTATCTATGATTATTTTGTTAATGTATGATTGTGACTAATTATTTTTTGAATCAAGTTTTTATAATTTTGGTTAATTTAGTTAAATATTTTAATGAAGTAAATATTTTTCATATATTTTCTCTGTTATATATTTTTTAATTATGATAAATTCAACAACTTTGTTGTCTGAAAGAAGGAGGGCAGAGAAAAGGCTGCTGTACTGATCGACATTGACTTCATGAGAAACTTGAGTACAGATAGTGTGGGAGCAAGTAACTATCTGCTGGGGCTCTAAAGGTGCAGGCACACGAGTGGTCTTGGTCGGAGACTTTTGTCGCCGATTAGAGGCTGGCACGGGCACACATGGACAAAAATGTCCAGTCAGTCGTTTTCCACTATGTCGATAATCACATGCGGAGAATTGAAAGGAAAATGAATCTGATTGGATAATGTCTGGCAGAGAATCAACTATCAGAGACAATTATCAAACTTGTTTGATATTTCAAATCCTGTCAACGATAATACTGTCGTGGAAGCAGGGGCACACGCGAGATTTTACTCAAGATTTGAGTTGGAGACAAAAATCTCTGACGAAGACCGCTTGTGTGTTCACACCTTCAGAAGACCATACTGTAGGCCAAACACTGTTCGAACCTATAGAAGACCATACTGTAGGCCAAACACTGTTCACACCTATAGAAGACCATACTGTAGGCCAAACACTGTTCACACCTGCAGACATGGAAGAACATATAAAGACAAGATGTCAGTTGATAAAAAGAAAACTCAGATTAAAAACAAAAAACAATTTTTATATATTAAGACATAAGATCACAAGAGAGAGCACTATTTGATTGGACACATTAAATAAATATATTATGTACATATTTTCACACATCTAAAATAAACAAATAAATGGATAATGAATTTAGACAATTGGAACACTTTCACAGCATAAATCATTTAATACAATACAATATGTCATTCCATTTCTACATTACAATAAGTTTTTTTTTTGCATTTTAATAAATAAAAGAAGTAAAGGTGGACTTACACCATATTGATTACCATAACTCACTACCTAGTTGCATGAGAATTGTGTTTGAACATCATGACCGCTATTCTTATTAGCAACCATATGCAACTGGTGAGAGCTGTGGTGAGAGGGCCAAGACCCTTTCTTATTCAAAATCTGAGATAAAATTACTATTTTCAGAGAGATTCGTAAAATAGCAAGTTTCCCCATGCAATTATTATTAATTCTTTAAATTTTCAGCCACTGAAATTATCTGGATATTACATTTCATTTTGCAGATCTATCACATTTATACTCTCTAAAAATATCATTTCATATCGATATGGAATCGAAGGATTACAATTAACTGCAGCACACAAAGAGTTCATTGGAAAACCCCTAATATATAAACAGAACTTTGAAAACAACGGGTCTGAAATTTTACAACAACGCAGCTGCCTGAGCACCATATTCCGTTCCTAGCAGACCACGACATAACAACGTAAATTCTTTCACAGTGTCTCGAATCTTACGTTTATTCATTCGCTCGCGAGAAATAGTCTTCACGAATATCTCCTTTTCCTTTTTCGGTGCATGTAGAGAAGGGTAGCCATCTTGTTCTATCATGGCCGACAGCCATTGATGAGAAAACTCAAAATGATATTTATTCAAACAGAGAATGACGTCTGCTATATATTCAATGACCCCTCTTGGAGAATTTCCACCAATGGCTTGTAAGATACGATCCACCAGCAGGTGGCCATTTTCTTTGATCACTTGTTTGATTGGTAGATTTTCTTGACCTACATGAAGAAACTCGCATAAAAATGAGCATGCTGATCGTACAGTATGATGTTCTGGAAGTGACATGGCAACCAATCCAGAATGGAAAAAGGCAGACGGACTGATGGAACTGTTCAGCACCAAATATTTTTTGTCCTTTTTCAAGACTTGAGTTAAAAGATTCATAAATCCTTCGATCAAATCTGTGTATTCTCTGGAAAGATTCTGACACAAAGATAAAGTCTTGTTACACACAGTAACGAACAGTGTTTGTGACACCATCGCAAGACTCTGTTCGGAGGCGAACATCAGAATCATAAGCCTTGACAAATCTAAAATTGGAACGTTGGGAACGGCTTCATAAATCTGGCACGCCATTTTCATCACATCCTCGGCAAGAGGTTTAAAATCATCCATTAAAGTTCTCAAAGCACATTTAAAAAGTTCACAAACTGCTTCAATGACAGGGATATCGTTTATCCATTTAGAAACTAGAGAATTAATTAAAGGGATAATTTTTTGAAGGACAATAAACACAGGTTTGGGCTCATTAGAGGGTTGTTTCACAGGGCTAGGTGGGCCTTCATCATCTTCCGAAGGTTCTCTGTCAGTATCTAACGAGGAAAATAACCAACTTAATAAATTAATTTTCAGTAATAACATTGGTTTAATTTCCATAGAAGGTTCCTGCTTTATCAGCTGCTCTAGTTGCTGGAGATGAGGCGCTAAGATACGGTCCAGATATTGCAGGATGTCTTGGAATGGCAGCACAGTCAAAACCTGTCCAACGCTAGACATAAGTCTGAGATTGTCTCTCTCTTTTAGGGTATTCGACTCCAGTACTGTTTGACTAGCTAGAATGATTTGGTGTGCATAAGGTTGAACATGATCCAGGTTTTCTCTTGTTACGTCTTTCAAAGCCATCGTGGCTGACGTTGCCACTTCCGCATTCCCTAATCCTTGTAATAACAAAGGGACGATACATCCTAAAATATCAGGATGATAATTCATCCATTCACCAAAACATCCAATCATGTATAACGCCGTGGAAATGAGTTTATTATTCGTGAAAGGGATTTGAGGTAACATTTTAAACAAGTTGGGCAAATGTTGCGATTCCTCAAGAGCTACACTTTCAGCTACGGAACCAAATAGAAAGAAAATGGCTTCGATCACTTGCCATTTGTTAGGCGCTCCAGTCGAATTTGACACAATTCCATGGATAACATTGCATAGATATCCCAATAACGGTTCCTGCAGAATATTGAATGCATACATCATGGTATCCCCAATGTCTTGACGGTAACATCGAAATTGTTCCTTCTCGTCGGCTGTCCAAGACGCATATTCCTTATCATCAGGATGTTGGACTTTTACCAAAAGAACTTCCATTAACGAGAAAAATACTGGCTGGAACATCATATAGAGCTGAGCTTGTTTAGGTCCATCTGTATTAGTGATCTCATCTTGTAAGACATACCAGAATGTAAAGGTCTGATCACTGCAGCCTTCATCTACTGGAAAATGACCTGGCAATGATGTACAACTTAAAACCATTTTAACTAACTGCATAGCGTTATTTCTATGTGTTACATCATCACTAAGAACAGAGTCAGTGATCAATTTTGTGTGATTTTCAGCAATTGTGACAATTATGCGACAAATTCCATGACTTTTTTCAATGTCTAAATCTTCTATAGCTTTTTGAAACATACACTGTAACAGTTCTATCTGGGGTAAGAGTTTTTGGATGGTGTAGGGGAAACGATGTGAATCTGGGTGTGAAAACACATTGACTAGAGCATCCACAGCTGTATCAAATAGTTCTGGATTATTCAGGGCCTGAAAGACATGACCGATTATCTCTTCACCATCATTCATGGGAATACCAAACTCTACCCAACTAGAGAATGTACATAAAGCTTGGTTGTAGATTTCTGTTGGTGTTGATGGAGACAGAAGTCCTTGAATTAACGGTAAAATAATCGTCAGCCCTTTTTGTAATTCGATTCTCAAAGCAACTCGTCTTTTCTGTGATAAATTTGTTGTAAAAAACTCTTCTGGTATCACTTTGAGAATTTCTAAGAGAATTTTACATCTCTGAACCACATTATTATTAGGAATTTCTCCTTCTTGAAATACTGTGATTAGATTCTGAATAGGATCCGGCCAATATTCGGGTGCTGTATGTAATAATAATGACACTAAAGCAACACAAAGTCGTGTGAACACCATTTTCGGTTGAGTAGAAAACTCCATGACCTTGGTCATAATTTTATTCTTGAGACTTTCATATTGGTCAGGGGGAACTTCGTGCCAGTATCGAGAAAGTTTAGTATGAAGGGTGCTAGCTCCAAAAAACTGGACTTCATAACCTTTGTCTTTTGACAACAGTTCAAAGCAGAAGGACCACGCCTCTGGACTGATTTGAGCAGCTGTGAGCCATTTGTGAACTTCTTGTTGTATTCCTGTATTACAATAAAACTGTTTTACAGCTTCTTCAACATTCGCCGCTGTATACTGAGTCGCCATATCTCAGGTTGTTTTGAGTCTGGAATTTGTGATTGAAATGTGGTAAGCAATGAATTTATCCCACATCCGATCCTTATGACTTTCAACACACCTTTTCGGCTCCTCCAGAATTCAGAACATTTAGTGTGTCCTATATCTCAATCGGAAATAAAGTTTCTAGAATAGTCATCACTGAACTAGTAAGTTATAATACGAAATAGATTCACAACCTAATAACAGTTCATGGAGGCAGCCATATTGAATTTTATATAAGGGGCATAACTCTTGTTAAATCAGACTACAACTAATTCCCTCTAATTTTCACCCTTCCTACCATCTGAACGCAATTGGATAATTTTAATCATTATTTTCTTTACAGTCCGATTATTGTCTTGACAATACTTCCTTACTTTCCAATTGGAAATCTTGGAATATATTCTTATATTCTTATACTTGACATTAGCCTCAGGTGTTAAAATTCAGTGGTAGGCCTACCCATCCTTTTTCAGCCTTCACACCCCCCTGGAGCACTCATTTAAACCTTTTACACCTCCCAAATTTCCAGCATGTGATGTAAGACTTCTTTCAATTTCTTCTCCAACACCAGTTTGCCACACTCCCGGGGGATGAAAACACCCAAGGTTGGGAACCAGGTTGTTGGATGGAGCAGCGCTAGGCTACCTCAGTCAGTAAGACTCTTGCTTGATAAAATGGCAGTCCAGTGTTCCATCCTGGCATTAATCACTGGTAGCGAAGATTATGAACGGTAGCGCTATTCTACTAAATTGCTTCAAAAGGAGCTTATCATACGTTAAAAAAAGAAACAGGAAAATTAGGGTATTTAACATATCAAGAAAGGGTCACTTTGATTTCAATAATATACACAGAGGCAGTAAGATATAGAAAGACGACCCAAATAATCCATTCTGTGTCGAGCAATAAAATAAAATACTACGAGAAACTGCCATCTATATAATATTTATTAAGATTCTGTTAATCAAACAAACAAACAAAATATCACATAATCTTCAAAGCACTAAAAATTTATAAATAGAATTGAAAAATAATGATACAAAATATTTAAGTTGAATTGAAAATCATTATTTTGAGAGTTTTTCAAACGAATTGTGGCATCTTTGAACATTTGATCAGCACAGAGTTAGTCTTTATTTGGTATGTGGTAATTATAAGACAAAAACTAAAGAAATCATAAAAAAAAATCAGGATATCAAGTAAACATTATTGATCAGTTAACACTGTGAAAATATAATGAAGCGGGTTACAAATAAATGGCTAAATGTGGAATTTAATAGAATCCTCATTTTGACTGTTGACTGTTATAAAATGAAACAAGCATAACATCAAACAATATTGTCCAAAATTAGAATCAGTGTTGTAGCCAATAGCAACACAAAACTACATCTTATAAAGCGAAAGGTTAAGCAGTTAAGTTTCTGTATATCCCTTATATGTTAGGCCTATATACGTGTAATTAATTCACTAGCCAAATTTAGCATTATTTGATAAGCCTGTCTCAAATACCAAGATATTACGAACTTCATACTTGTACCATGACTTCAATAGCCACTATTCTTGTATCACAAAATAGAGTGATTTGGTTGGATGGTATGTTAATAAATACAGCCTATCAGAGGCCGCTACAGAAAGTCAGTAAACGATAAGCCATAAGGTTTACAGACTGTCTGTCGAGGCATATGATTGGCTGTAATCCAATCAAATTGCTGCTTCTTGTGATACAAGAAAAGTGGTTATTGCAGTCAAGGTATATAACAAAGTTCATACTAACTTGACATTCTGTATTAGAAGTAATGTTTTTCATGCGTTAGGGTATATGAAATATAATAGCCACTAGCGAAATTTGCATTGCCCGCTATTTAATAAGCCTGTTTCTAAGGGATACCTATATGTAACTGAAGAATATAGTGATTACAATACTAAGTACTACCAATTACCATAGAGATACGAATATATTATACTAAGGACCTATTTACACTATTTATAGTACATTTTCTATTATCACAGCAATCAATTCTAATCAACACAATACACACAATCAGTTCTATTACCTCCCCTTGAAGAATAACGAAAAACGAAATATTTCAAAAGTCATCATTCTTACTCCCTCTCAATTTCTTTCTTTCTATAGAACATGCAACCAATGAATATCAAGATTACTATTAGAAGCTCTATTAATATGAATGTCCACCCCCTGCCCCTCCCCCACACACTTATTGCAATTGATACCCAATGTAATAATCCACTGATAATACCAATACCCCACTGAGGGTGGAAGAATCACACAAAAAGACTTAACAATATAGCTAATAGTAATAGTAGTGATATAATATTGCATTGAAATTAACTTTGTATGTAATCAAACTTAGTGAATGTAAATTAATGCAATATAAGAAAATATGCTACACAAAATTGAAAAAAAGATTAACAAACACAAATTTATAGTTTTTGTAAGCATTTCAAAATCAAACCATCATGTTCTAAACCAAACCATCCAAAAATAGTTATGTTATGTTATGTTAGAGTTTAATGATAAGAATGTTAGTTATGTTAGAGTTTAATGATAAGAATGTTAGTTATGTTTTGCAGAATATCTCTCAAATAAAAATTAAATCATAAACTCTTTAAGGAACAAGTGAAAAATTATCCATTTTAAGAAAAAGATCCAAAATATCTATCATGATTTATCGAAAAAAAAACCCAAAACTGAAAAAATCCATTAATTGAACCCACCTATTACAAAATGTAATAGACTTAAATTGCAATTATCAAACACCAACATAAAAATTAGAACGCTGCTCTGTCCATCTACCTTCAACAATTTTATTTACTTAATTATTTGGAAACCTGAAATTTTTTTTTTGTATTAAGGAAATGCCAATTTTACCTAATGAGACGTGAATTTTTTTTTACTGTTCCAGTCATCTGATTGGTGACTATTTTCAATGTAGTTATATCAACCAATCAAATTGCAGTGATTCTTATAATTAGCATCAAATTTATATCAATAGAATTTTTATAAACAGAGCAGCCTCTAAAAGCATGGTTGTATTTCGTTACTTTGATTCCTGGCAAAATAATTACTCGCCTTTATTTTCATCAATACAGCAGTTAACATGGTATTCAAAATTATTATCGCTTGTATCTTTATCTGCTATTGCGTTACAGACCGGGCAGATACGACCTCCGTGGTGCAATAAATGTTCCTCGAACTCCAGGTCAGTTATATCGATCGAAAAACAACGATCGCATTCTGGGCATGTCTTCATACCAACTCCTTTAGCGTCTACAAATCTGAAAATGAAATGAAAATGAAACATTTTGTGTTTTGGGCAAATTTTTTGTTGTTGTTCAGTTGTTAAGTATTGGATTAAAAAAAAAATATTGCTTGGTGAACTCAAATAAAAGATGGTCCTGGGTTTTAATCATGGTCAGCAACAGACCTTTGGGGCTCCCAAATTTTTTTGTTGTTTTTCAGTTGTTTAAAGCCCAAAATAAAAGATGGCCGTGGGTTTTTATCATGGTCAAAAAAGGGCTTTATTATTCCAGTTGTGAGTGTGGAAACATCAGGGTCCAGCTGGACGACAGACTCCAACCTCTTGCGTCCAAAGTACTGAAGTTATCCTTTCAAACATTGGTGCTTCTATACTTTCTTTTCTTTTCAACTTGTAAATAAAATTCACACTTACGCATCCTCTTCCAAATCAAAAGTATCTGATGTCTGTGGTGTAAAATTTGACGGTGCATCTACAAAATCAGTCTGATCATCTACAAACATACAAACACATTATCAGGTATTCAATTAATAAACACATAGCTATGAAACTTTTAAATTTCTTTTTGTTTGTTCCTAAATTTTGTGATAATTGCAAATGTATTGGCAAAAAAATTATTTCCTCAGACAAAAAATTCTTAGAATTTGAGGTTTTTATTTCCAAACAAGTTGTACTGATGATGGTTTTATATCAGAAACACATAAACAGCATGAGATGAGCTCATGTCAAATTATAACACTATCACTCAAAAACTTCCTCATCAATAATTGATATACTTCCTCAAAAGTTCCTTAGCTGTTACCTATGTATTGCCAATACTATGTTGTTTTAGAATTTGAGTTTTGTTTTGCAGTTTGGATGCTTGGGTTTTTATTAGTGCTGAGTATCGCCAATCTTGCCATAATACCATACATATCGCAATTCAAGGGTCGCGATACAATTTGTTTCGCAAAATGGGGTAATGGGATAAAATTTAACATTTAATTTTCAAAGTTTCAATATTTATCAATTCATAACTTTATAACTGTGATATTTGTTATAGTAGTTGATAGAAGTTAATTTCCACAGTCTTAAAACAAATCTTAGTGGGACAAAATTCTATTCGCAGACTTATAAAAAATCCCCACTGTTTAAGATTTGAGAGGCATTTGATGCCTATTTTCTTATATTCATAAACACTACATAGTATATTGTTCTTACCAGTGAATGGATAATAGCTTGCTTTAACTGCAGCGACTTTAGCCGATGGTAGAACTGTAGGAGAGATAGGGGTAGGTAATCCATCCGAATTATCACTATCACTCAGGTGATCAGCTACTGCCGAGGAGACTGATGACAGGGCGGTAGGGGGGATGTGTGGATAAATCAAGGGCGGTTGGGGAGTTACTCTAGTAGCATAATTGCTGTATTCTTGAGGGTAAGGATAGTTGGGGAAAGGTCGATAGAGTACTATGGGTGAAACTTGATTTTTACTTGGCGATTTTGGTTCTTCTTGGTCCTGAAAAACAGAAATGTTATTTATTACCCCATAAATCAGTTTCCAAAAATTGGCCTGAACAAATCAGACAATGAAAAAATTTTCTGGGATACTTCATTTGAAGTTCCACAAGCTGATCACTCAGCCATTTATAATCAGACATTGATGGCTATAGGTTCTAGATTTATAATATTTGCAATTATACAATATTAGGTAACGATATAGAAATACCTCTGTTAAAATAGTGCTCAATACATCACTTGTAGAGCGATATAGAAATACCACTGTTAAAATATCGCTCAATACATCAATTGTAGAGCGATATAGAAATACCACTGTTAAAATAGTGCTCAATATATCAATTGTAGAGTGATATAGAAATACCACTGTTAAAATATGCTCAATACATCAATTGTAGAGCGATATAGAAATACCACTGTTAAAATAGTGCTCAATATATCAATTGTAGAGCGATATAGAAATACCACTGTTAAAATAGTGCTCAATACATCACTTGTAGAGCGTTATAGAAATACCACTGTTAAAATAGTGCTCAATACATCAATTGTAGAGCGATATAGAAATACCACCGTTAAAATAGTGCTCAATATATCACTTGTAGAGCGATATAGAAATACCACTGTTAAAATAGTGCTCAATACATCACTTGTAGAGCGATATAGAAATACCACTGTTAAAATAGTGCTCAATATATCACTTGTAGAGCGATATAGAAATACCACTGTTAAAATAGTGCTCAATACATCAATTGTAGAGTTATATAGAAATACCTCTGTTAAAATAGTGCTCAATACATCAATTGTAGAGTGATATAGAAATACCACTGTTAAAATAGTGCTCAATACATCAATTGTAGAGTGATATAGAAATACCACTGTTAAAATAGTGCTCAATACATCAATTGTAGAGTGAGATAGAAATACCACTGCTAAAATAGTACTGAATACATCAATTGTAGAGTGATATAGAAATACCACTGTTAAAATAGTGCTCAATACATCAATTGTAGAGTGATATAGAAATACCACTGTTAAAATAGTGCTCAATACATCAATTGTAGAGTGATATAGAAATACCACTGTTAAAATAGTGCTCAATATATCAATTGTAGAGCGATATAGAAATACCACTGTTAAAATAGTACTCAATACATCAATTGTAGAGAGATATAGAAATACCACTGTTAAAATAGTACTCAATATATCAATTGTAGAGCGATATAGAAATATCACTGTTAAAATAGTGCTCAATATATCAATTGTAGAGAGATAAAGAAATACCACTGTTAAAATAGTGCTCAATATATCAATTGTAGAGTGATATAGAAATACCTCTGTTAAAACAGTGCTCAATACATCAATTGTAGAGCTATATAGAAATACCACTGTTAAAATAGTGCTCAATACATCAATTGTAGAATGATATAGAAATACCTCTGTTAAAACAGTGCTCAATACATCAATTGTAGAGCTATATAGAAATACCTCTGTTAAAATAGTGCTCAATACATCAATTGTAGAGTGATATAGAAATACCACTGGTAAAATAGTGCTTAATACATCAATTGTAGAGAGATAAAGAAATTTAAGGTTATATTACCTGCTTCATTTCACGTAATTTATGATTTAAATCTTCGATCTGCTTATCTTTCTCAGCCAAAAAACTCTACAAAATATTCATCAAAGATCAATTATCAAAACAATTATTACTAAAAACTAAGTGAGGAACTAGGCCAGGTATTCTCGAAACGATCTTATCGCTAGGATGTCCTAGGTTCTTATCTTCTAACTTTGATTCTAGGACAACTTAGCACTAAGATCGTTTCGAGAATACGGGGCCAGTTTTTTGTTTTAGTTACATAGTTTTTAATCGTTTGATCTTCTAGATTTTAATCATTTTTACATTTTTAGATGTCTTAAATGATTTTATTCTATGTAAAGCGCTTTAGGGTATTTAAGATAGGGCGCTATATAAATATGTGTATTGTATTGTACTCGTCATTTCCTGGAATAAATTCTACTGACTAAATGTTTTAATAACACGTCAAGGAGATCCATTTCTAGATTTAAGAAAGGGTGTGCATTATATTTGCAATTATACAGTATATACTTACAGTACAGGACATAAGTTTATGTTCTAGATCAGTAGGTCTAGCTGTGATAGTTGATCTCAAGGTGTTGATCTCTATATCCTTTCTATTCATATCTTCATTATACTGGTCTCGTAACGCTTCATACTTCATCTTCTCTTCATTATACAACTTCTTATACTTTATCAACTTATTCTTGAAGTCTTTCATTGATCCGCTATCTGATTGGCTCTCTTTTATCACCATGCTTTCTGCTGCTTGTGTTACCATAGCAACTGATTCTGTAATAAATAAACATAGAAATAAGATACCAAACCTATTTTTCTGCTGATAGTACTAGGACAATTCCACACAGTGTACAATCGCAGCATTCTAAACGTTACAGAAATATTAATATGCACACCGAGTAGCTTGAAATTCTTGGGTTATTGTCAGTTCCACAAAGACAGAGTTTTCAGAGAGAAGCGCAAGAAACAATTCATCCACAAAAGAGCTATGAGTTATAGATGACCAAGGAACAATTGGTCAGCAGTTCGATAACCCGGATATCATTTGTTGCCCATATATTCCGAAATACCCAGTATATAATTTTCCTACCTTTTTCTTCTTTAACAATAGACTTCAATAGGAATGGATTGTTTGGTTCAACATGAACAACTTCTAAAAACACAGAAAAATATTAAAATTACATTTCAATTTGCATGAATTGATGAAATAAAAAAACACAATTTGGCCATATAAAAATAATATTCAAATAAAAGATTTGTGGAATTCAAAATTAAATCTATACCCTTCAAATTCATTGGCTGTTGATTTTATTTTATTTCATTTGCCAGTTAAGTTTGACTGGATCTCTGAAATGTCAGACTGACTTTTGTACCTACAGGTTATTGCTGGAGCAAACAGCAACTACAATGAATTATCATTTCAAACTTAATTCTTTTTTTTTCAAATCTATTTTTGCAATAAAAAGACATTCCAATCAATTTCAGTTGTATACTTACTGTTTCTGCAATGTTTACATTTTTTCTGTATTCTGACATTTTCTTTAAAGAGTTGTCTGTAGGCATCTGAACACATAGTAATCCTTTCTTTTAGATCCTGTATTTCTCTACGTAGGTCTTTTTCTAAAGAACTTGCTGATGCCTGGAACAAAAATCAAGAAACAATGGGATTTCACTTTGAAAAGGTTGCACTTTGACTCTAAAATAAGGTTACAATTTCGTTTTGTTATTACTGAAATGAGTAAAACTATGAGCTTTATTTCAAAAGAAGGGCCTTTACAATAGTGACATCATAAACGTAATGTTTTAGTGGGATTACGAGAACCACAAACGTCTGATTGAAAATTGGAATGGTGCAAATTAATACTATAAGTGTCTCCGATATGCATAATAAGTTTAAAATACATCTTCATGATCCTTTAAATATTCAGTGGTATTGAATTGCAGGAACCACAGATGTCTGACTGACAATTGGAATGGTACAAGTTGGTGCTTTAAGTGTACCATAAAAGATAAAAAAAAAAAACCTCTTACAATTCTTTAAAATCATTGGAGATAACCCTTGATTATGAAAAAGTTTAGGAAACCCTTGCTGGGATATGATACCTTAATAGATTTCATCTCTGACTGTGATTTATCCAGGTCTTCTTTCATCTGTTTATGACGGTGTTTCAGTGTATCGTTAGCTACCTGTAACGCATACATCGGTCCTGTAGTTGTATCTTTCTTGACTTCTTCTTGTAATTCAGTCACTTTCTTCTGTAATTCTTCTTTTTCCTACAAGAAATATTTATATTTCATGACAATTTTCTCAAATCATGGAAGGCAAGTGGATTCATACTCACCATAATCACAAGAATGGTATATGGGAATGAAAATGGTGGCATATATATCTGAATTTGTTTTAATTAATGTTAGAAAACCAAAATTGTCTTAGACACTGAAGAGTTTAAAAGCTTCTAATCATGAATAGCACAGTATGCTTACAGTGTAACAATACAAGAAAGAAATGTAATGTAAATGGTGGTCTTAGTAACAATATGTAATCCGGCAATTTTTTTATATAGAATTTAAATCTGCTACTATTTCAAGTCATTTAATTTTTAAAGTAGTAATTTGGTGAAAAGATGTCTTATATCTGTGTCAATATCATTTCAAAGTATTATGGTCTTCGCTTTGATAATTTATGAATAATCCTAACATACTCTCTCATTTGAGGTTAAGCCTGCATGCCTGTGCCTCTGCTTTCGTAACATTACTTGACTGCAATGTTACAACCTAAAATTCCTAACGTAAAAAGAGTTATCACTTTTTCTGGGCCACGCGATATATGATTTCTCACCTTAACTGCGTTACAGAGATCTCTATGCACGCCATCATTTTCTCGTATCAAAACATCAGTTTCTTGGGAAAACTCTAGTTCTATTCTCTCAACATTTTTCTTTAAATCAAGATTCTCTGTTCTTCTTCCCTAAAAAATACGATTTTTATTTAGTTAACGCCTGCATCATAAAAATTTACATTAGCAATCAAGTTTAATACAGGCATAATCTTTACCTATCGTGGGATTGAACCCTGAACCCTCAGAGTAGTAAATGGAGTTTTACGTCCTACTTTTCTGCACCATATTCAGATTAGTGATCACTGAGCCATTGCTTCTCTTATATAATATATATGAAGCAACCTAGCTTTAATTAAGTATAACAGATGGAACATGGAAGCCTTTAAATATGAAAAAGAAACCAGTTTTTTTGTATTGTGTTCCTTTGAATACTTGAATAAGCAGAACTATTTATGCTAATGAGGATAGTCAATGCCATGCAGTGTGCATCAAGGGAAATTTTGATGAGATATTACCTGTAATTCTCTCTGTGCCTCCTCATATTTCTCAGTAAAGGCAGATAACTCTCCTGTCATCAATTCTTTAACTTTGACGGCTGCTTCCAGTTTATCTTCTGTATTTCTCAATCGTTCCTGCAGTTTCTCAACACTTTCCTGAAGAACAAATCAAAACGATAACTTCTTAAAGTCCATGCATCGCCATGAGCCTCGTTCTGGATTCAATATGGCTGACGCGTGAATAAGGTCAAACTTCTGAAACTTACGTTATTTGAGGCCATGACATGTCTGGATTTTTCTACCTCCACTGACTGTTGATGAAGATTAGATTTTAACGTAGCAATTTCCATTTGACAAGCAGCAATATAGCTTTCCTTCTCTTCTAGTTCTTTCTTCATTGTAGTTATTTCACTGGCATAGTTCGATACAGTTCCCTCGGATTTTGTCAGATGACCCTGGAAACAATGATAAGAGGTAAAATGATAACAGGTTAAAATCACCTTAAACAGCTAGTTTGGATCTAATCTGAACACATTTGGAATCACAAATTATTTTGAAAACTATGGCATTGTTCTGTTGGATAAATTCCTTCTTCATTTGAAGGATCTATAGAGCTGAAACCACTAAAGAGCTTGTTAAAGTCATCAGAGATTTATCTTGTCTTGATGGAGATCAAAGTCCATCTACAGCTAACAGCCAATGACTGAGTTAGTTCCTCTTGAGGGAAAATTACGAGAATCAATTAAGACTTTATCTAAAATCAAACCTTGATCATTTCTGCTTCTTCCTTCAATGATTTGTTCTGTCCATCTAATTCATCCTTTTCATTCTGTAATACTTTCTCTCTCTCTTTCAATTCGAACAACGTTAAAAACAGCTGTTCAATCCTCCTCTCACAATCGGCTTTCTCCTACAATTAAAATCACAAAAAAATGTTGAAAATATACCACTGTACGTTTGAGAGACATCCCTACAAGTGCTTAAGATATTACCATTTAGAAAAATGTTTTCAAAATTGGCCCCTTCAAATCTTAAAAATTTGACAAACAAATTTAACGCAAACTGTTTATACTGAAGAAAAATCTAAATTTACCTGTGTCAAGGTATCTACTTTTATTTACCTGTGTCAAGGTGTCTACTTTTATTTACCTCTGTCAAAGTGTCTACTGTTATTTACCTGTGTCAAGGTGCCTACTTTTATTTACCTGTGTCAAGGTGTCTACATTTATTTACCTGTGTCAAGGTGTCTACTTTTATTTACCTGTGTCAACTTGTCTACTTTTATTTACCTGTGTCAAGGTGTCTACTTTTATTTACCTTTGTCAAGGTGTCTACTTTTATTTTCAGTTCATCATGGACCAAAATCAAATCCTTGGCATTTTTATTATTATCTTCAAGTTCCCATGTTTTCTCTTCTAATTCTTTCTTTAATTCATCATACGCTGTAGTTTTTAATCTTAATCGTTTTTTAACATCTCGTACAGCTAATCTTAATGTCTTCTTATCTTTTTCTAATTCTTCTTGTGTCTAAAATAACCAGATTAATATCTTTTTAGTTCATGAATGACTATGCTAATTTACATTTTAAACATACCATATAACAAATATATTATAGTATAACACAATTCTTAAAAAACAAGTAATCTTACATAACGTCGTCATCAGATGATGTTATCTGATGACCACACGTGTAAATTGTATCGAAACCCGGTTTCCCTTTTTCAGTGATGAAGGTCAGAGGGCTGACATGGAAAAAGCATCTGCTTTACATGGGACAAGAAACCTTGGCTTAGGGTTGAACATGTTAAAGATCCTTTGATCTGAAAGAGTAAGCTAATGCCGCTGTCCTCATAAAATTTCCCTTTTGGTACACTGCATGGCAATGGAGTCTTCATTAACCTAATCAGGTACATCAAAATAGGATACAAACCCAATTTAATTTCATTTTGAAATGGCGTAAAGTCATATTTTTGTCACTATACCTCTAAGAGGCTGGCTTTTTGAAGAGCAGCTTCTTTAAGATTTTCTTCCAAATAAATAGTTTTCTCCTGAACAATCAACATATCATTATCTTCATCCTCCACTTCTACGAAATCTCCGGCACTTGGTCTTTTAAATTGGAATGGTGTACTGGCTCCTCGGATATGACCAGAACTTGTTACGTAACAAAACTGATAAAATTCACCATCATCATCTGGTAGATTGTGAGCTGTCAATCAAAATATTTCAAACATTCTATAAAGATTTCCGTGAGTGGTGTTTAGTAATCATTAAAAAAAACACAAGTACCACAACTAACAATCTGAACAACGGAACAAAACACATGTACCACAACTAACAATCTGAACAACGGAACAAAACACATGTACCACAACTAACAATCTGAACAACGGAACAAAACACATGTACCACAACTAACAATCTGAACAACGGAAAAAAACGATATAAAAAACAAGTAGGCTACCAGTAAAAAAAATCCGAACCATGATAGGAAATATAAATTACAATATAACAGTTTGGCAATACATTGGTATATAACTATGGGGAAGTATTTACATATCAATTTTTCATTTACCAAAATAAATAGCTCTCTGTTCATTAAATTCATATCTTTATCTTTCAAAGTAAAATACTCTAAGCACATCAGTGAATCTTCGGTCATTGAGCTAATTAAACTGGTTAAAGGGAGAAGTTCAAACTTTACTTAATAGAAAATCAAAATGACTTCCACTTTCTGCTTCCAGTTAACTGATATCACAGACTAAGTAGTTGTTGGTTAGATGACAAGTTAACGTCCGCTTCCAGCTAACTGGTATCACAGACATGTTTACTAGTGACAATGACTCATTAACAATTCATAACTGTATCAGTTTTAGAAAAGATTTAGAAATTTCAAACTTTGATATTACCTTGATATAATATTTTAGCTTGGGCATCAGTTTCTGGTTTATAGTCCTTCGGATAGGGAGCCCATTCATAATAAAAATAATCATTAGGAGACATCCACCCTACTTTATATAATCCAACCCAATCTCTAGTAGAGGGGGTGATATCACTCGTGATTGTATACGAACACTCAACATGGGCATCTGCTGGGTACATCTCAGCTACATTGTGGAATACAACAGCTGCGTAAGCTGATCTCTGCATCTTATTGGTTGTGGCTACAGGCACATCTACAACTTCTATATCATCTGATAACTCTATTGAGGCCATTGCTATGTGGTAAATATGTATTCAAACTGAAACAAAACCAATTATACAAAATAAAATATGCTTAATTGATGGTGTTGCTAATTGTTTAATATGTTATCAAACTGAAAAGATTGAAGAAAAAAAATTCCTAAATTCTTACTCTTGTAGTCATAGTTCAACCCAAATTTCAGCTAAATTTGATTTACAAATTCTAAGTACTGTAATAGATATGGTGTTCTTAAACTTTGAATATTATTATATAAAATGGTTTCAATTAGAATCGTGTTTTCCATTTGAAAGATTGATTAAAATAACTTTTTATAATAATCCTTTTTTGTAGAATTTCACTGTTGAAGAATATCAATATTTCAAATTCAACATGTCATAATCCTTAAGACTCCATTTTGTATAAGCTTACATAACACTCACATTAAGATAAGATATTTCTATACTGCATGAACATTTCCGTTATATATGCCCATGTTTACCATTGAATATGTCTAACTTACATAGTAAATTTGTCTTTCAGTAGTGTAATAGACCTTTGATATGTTTCTATGTACAGTATGATAATGAAATGGTGAATAAAGAACTAAATTTAACCATATGATTATGTGTCATTAAAAGGCCAGTAAGCTTATACCGGTATACTGGTACGTGTAGGCCTACATGATAAACAGTTATAATATATCACAAAAGCTCTTAGTGTAAGCTTATTTCATTACAAATTAACATAAGGTATGCAGCTACTGTAAATTATTCAAATAATTTTTATGTGTCTATCAACAATATCAACTTCAAGATGTTGACAATAATAGAGACAGATTTGACATATTGAGTCCAAACTCTACCAACCAACCACAAGACTTAGTTTAGTTGGGAATTTGCATTTACAAAAGGATAGTACGCTAACAATGTCTAAGAATATCTATGCGCAGTTTAACTGTTTTGGGCTTGACACGTCCAGACTACTGCGAATCCATAACTTGATGGGTGACCTCAATAATGTAAACAATAACAAACTAAGCTCGACACAAAAATAGGCCAATCGAATTCACCATTGGCAATAAAATCGAAGTTTTCCCGACCTTTGATTCTTTTGTCAATATATTCTTTGAATAACACTTATTGTATTTATATATATCTACCTTTCTCTATTGTTATGTAAATATGATAAATTCAGGATCTAAAACTGAAGCAAATGTCCTCCATTTATTGCTCAATGTTTTTCCTGGTTTATTTTTATTTATGACGTCACAAATTTCGTCAATCATCGGAAATTTATTTTAAAACGAAAGAATAATTATAAAATTTGAATTGAGTTTTCCAAATTAGTATTTTAAGAAAAATACCCGCTGATTGGACATTTTGATTCCTTAAGCAACTTTATGTAAATTTAAAATGTCATTGAATTCTTTTTACTGTTTTTATTTTGTCTTCAGAAACCGTGGTTATCTCCCTTTGACAACTAAAACATGGAAACGGTGGGTCTTAGACTTGCCTCTATGTTTCATAGAGGGGTACACAGTTTTAATTATTTGATTAAAAAAATAAAAGTAAAGTTGTCGATTTTTCTTTTTTCGGATCAATGGATAATAAATCTAGATTTATTACTACATTTGCCAAAAGACATTGGGCTTTATGACAAAATAAATGCTTATAACTTAACTCTGAACAATATTTGTATAGTTAGTTTCTTACACGGAACACTTGAGTATCATAGATTATATTCAGTTTTGCGAGAAGTATAAAAAAGTTTTTTTTCGTTAGAAATTGAATTGGCTTTGGCCACCCTTTATAATTTTTTTTTCGAAATAGAAGTAATCTGCCCCGAAAAACCAAGAAAAGTCTGTGACAGTAGGATACTTATATAATTCGATAAGTTTCTACTCAGTCACAATTTAAAAAAGTCAATATTAAATTGCAAACTTGATGAAAAAATCGAATTTTACAAAATATGTTTAAATTTGACTTTATAGGACCGACATAATATCGTTTACAGATTGGCTCCCAAAGTACTATAGGTAAATGGAGGAAATCAATCAAATTTCTAAAGTGAATTAGATCTAAATGTTGCTTTCTATCCAAAACACTCTCTTCAAGTTTTAAATCCAAACGTATCAAAGATCCACTTTTGATTATCGCATATTTTAATTAAAGCTAAATTAATCAGATTGCTTGAGTCAAACGACTACCATTCGACTATCAATCAACCAATTACCATGATCAGAACGAGTTGGGAAGAATGAAGAAGAAGTAACTCACGCCACACCATCCAGGTCCGAGTTTCACTGCTATGACATTCGACCCGACCAGATCTAACGAATTATCAACAACCAAACCAACAACACAGAATCATCCAATTTGAAACAATCCAACTACCAACTACTACGACTACCAACAACTACCTAGTCTGTGATATCAGTTAGCTGGAAGTGGACGTTAACTTGTCATCTACCAATAACTACCTAGTCTGTGATATCAGTTAGCTGGAAGCAGACGTTAACTTGTCATATACCAACAACTACCTAGTCTGTGATATCAGTTAGCTGGAAGCGGGCGTTAACTTGTCATCTACCAACAACTACCTAGTCTGTGATATCAGTTAGCTGGGAGCGAACGTTCTTTGTCATCCACAAACCAACTAAGATTGTTTGAGTGTGGTCGTATGAAGTGATTATCCTAGCCTAGCTTATGTTGTTTGGAATGATGTCAAGGAGTCAGTAGTACTACTATTAATTACAGATACTGATAAATACTAATATTGTATTGTAGGTACTCGCGTATATCAATCAACCGATACCAATTATACTGACAAATTACAGACCACTTACTAATAATACCATATATAGTCATTGAGCGTTTTCAATTTTCATCATCATCATGAGGAGTTTTATCTCTATGGAAGCCGAGGGAGGCAAACATTTGTGTTGTAAAGGGGGAGGGGGGGGGGGATGGGAACCAGTCGGATAACAAAGGAAATGTGATGTGCGACGTAAATCATGTAATATTCAAATCAACTGCATTTTAAAGCTTTGCTGTTCAGTTGAACCTTGTCATTCTAATACTTGCTTGAAATTTAAAAATGTCACTTCCGGTTCGTTTACTGGAATAATGATCTTTGTAACAAACCATCACACCACCCAACAGTCATTACGACATGGTGTAGTCGTTTTTTCTCCCAATGTTAAAGAATCAATTAACAGACTTAACTTCGAGCCTGTTAAGAACCCTTGGCTTCAATACCAAAAAGGTTATTTTAATTATAAACTTTAAATGGAATGGACCCCTAGAGGCTGGGGGTCTGAGGACTTCCAGGGACCTCATAAAGACCAACGGATTTTAGACGGCCTGAGATGAATTTTGAGCGTTTAGAGGGCTTAATTCTCACTTAAAAATGACTTTTGCAGGCCTGAGGTGCAGGGGGAGGAGGAGGGGAGGGGACATGACCCAATGGCCAACCCTCTAAATAAGTCACTGGTGGTGCAATTGGGGCTTTCAATTTCTGCCTGTATAGAGAACCTTAACATTTACAGTGCTCCATCTGAATTTTCTCTAACTTCACTCAATACAAGACGAATTATACTTCATATTTACAATGTAAAGTACTAGTGACATTACGAAAGATCTACGTTTGACCACGACATAATAAAAGTTTAATTTCGTTTGAATGCAATAAACCTTTTAAGCTTTTAGGATTATGTTAGATTTTTTCAACTGACTGAAAGAAACCTGGTCATATCGGAAGGTAATCTTTTAATGGACCTGTGATCTTATAGATTAAATAGAATATACCAGTATGTCATGAACAGTGATACAACCCGTACGTTCTCATCTCTTCGTTTGATAGCACTGAAATATACTGTAGCTATAATACTTTTCAGAGTAAAAACTCGGCGCCGAGTTCGTGTACAATTAAAGACCAGTTAAAAAGTTATACCAGTATGTCATGTAATATGAACTTTCTCATCTTTTCAATCGAAAATTGATCTAAACTATAGCTATTCTTACATTTTTCAGAATCTAAACTGGACACCGGGTTCGTCTACAGTTATAAACATGATATTTGATGTGAACTTTTCAGACAAAAATTCTGACCTCGGCTCCCCCACCTCGGCTTGCCTTGATAATTCTGTGGAGCCTACTCGACCCCACCCTTTACCTAGTGATTCCTACAAACGCAATGGTACTTGTTAGTCATTGGTGACGAAAAGTTGAAAATTAAATGTTTCGTGCAAAACGAAAGAAATCTACTCAGAAGTAAGTTCCAATTTATTCAAATGACTTTTCAGAAGAGTGAAGAAAGCGTTTCACTTTAGGATACTTCATGTAAAAAACATTCTAAATTTGACCTCTTCTACAAAAATACATTTCGTTTTTTTCACTTCATAATAGGAATTTTGTTTTTTCAGATTATGTTCCCTTTATGTTTGAAACTTGATAAAAGAATCTAATTCCGTTTTAATTTTGTGCATTGATGAAACAATTGCTATAAAAGGAAAATACTTGGTTTTAGTGCGTGGTAAATTGGCATTTAGAGGTAACAGAAGAGCTCACTTCTAAAGGAAAATTGCTGAAGGATATTTTACTTTTTTATGTTACCAAATTACAACAGATCGCATTTTGATGACAGAACTGCGAGAACCTTTGAGATAAAAATTTTGACTACTTTATATGCTAAAGTACTATCCTTTTAATCTAATGAAAATGAAATGAAATGGAGTTTTACGTCACGTATTAGCAGATTGCATTGAAAGAAAATTTTGCTGTATGTGAAGAATAAAATATAGTTCCTTGGTATAATTATATTAACTGAAAATGAGTTTTACGTCCTATTTTTTGAAGCTGGTGACAATTGGAAATGTCATACGGTGGGGCAATGAGAGATATTACCCGTGGGGGTAGAGCAGCTTTCAGGTTGCTCGAAGCCGTTACGGACAGTCTATAACCACTGTTCTCGAGCCTCATTCGCGACTCGGTCGTCACCGTTTACCGTCGGTACTACGGGTTGTCGTTCGGGTATAGAAGGGTCGAGTCTTTATTACAGTGCGGAATGTCAGCGGTTTTGAGTTTCTACGTTCAGTAACTATTCACTATCACAGTTAAACCTATATCAACATCCATTTATTTAACTGGATATGTTTTGATACAAAACAGGGAAATAGATCGCCTCTTTTAAAATAATTCTTGTTTAAATTCAGTCTAAATAACTGTTAAAATCATTCTTATTAAAAACTAGACGTGGTTAACACTGTTTTAAAACGGTTAGTTTCAACCAAGGCTTCTATAGATTACCATTGGTGCATGTTTAATGGTTAATCGAACGCTAAATGTTCAAATTACCTAGTCTGGGTTATTATATAGATTTAAATAGCAAAGGGAATTTCCTTTTTAACAAAGAAGTAAAATACCGTTTTAAAAACAGCCAATTTTAAAATTAAATTGTGTAGGTGTTCTTTACGGCGGTTCATTTAGGACATTTTTTATGTCATCATAGCTTTGGGTACAAGAAAAGTTAAAATTAAATGATATTTCAGATAGTGACGTCATAATCTGGTCAAGTTGTTTTGGTATTACTGGAACCACGATAACAATGTTACGACATCTACTGCGATCCGTAATTTTTATGATGTCGAGATAGTATTGAAATCTGTGGCGTTCCAGTATCTGTCAGACGACAGAGGGAAGACTTTGAGAAGCAGTTACAGGATAGTCGGATTGAGAGAGGGGAGATAGTGTGGGGTGGTGAACTGACACTTCTCTGAAAAATAAACCCAAACAATTTTAAATAAATCTAATTCTTTATTCGATTCTTGTGGAAATTGAATAAACTTTTTACAAGACAATCGTTTTCTAAAGGGTGAAAAAACAAAAATAACAAAATTGAATATTATAACGTGTAGTTGATAACAACTTTGGTGAAGAATACCGAACGTAAAGCCTGAAGCGGACGTGGTGCCTAATCTCTTATGTCGTAATAACCCGTAAACACAGAATAATACTTTGTTATGTTTCACATTGTTTATAAACCAGGCCCGTAGCCAGACTTATTGACTTGTTTGGGAGGGGTAAGTAATATATCTGGAGGGGCAAGTAATATATCCGGAGGGGCAAGTAATATATCTGGAGGGGTAAGTAATATATCTGGAGGGGCAAGTAATATATCCGGAGGCGCAAGTAATACATCCGGAAGGACAATTAACATATCCGGAGGGCAATGGTGTATGGTGTTTAATTGCAGCAATATAATTGGTGGGTTGTCAGGATTTTTTAAGGGGGGGGGGGGCGATCCTTTTTTTGCAGGGGGGGGGGGGTTACCCCAAGTAGCTAGGAGCCGTATATCTCAAGACAGAAATGTCTATCAACTGTTCTGCTGTAAGATGCCATGTAACTATGTATCTTCACTATACTCAATACTATTCCAAGCTATTCCTCATAGTTTCAAGAAGCCATAACAAGACGGTGACCATTATGGCATTATACAGTGTAACGAAGATTTCTAATTTTGATGTACTTGTCCACAGCCATGAAATATCAATACAGAAATTGAATCATATTGATACTCAGAGATTAACGCTGTGCGCATCTTCACAATGTCAAACAATTACAAACTGCGTCGGATACCTTGACTGCAATAACCACCTTTCTTGTATTACAAAGCCTTATTGTGTCAAGGTATTAGAATCGGTACGTGATAGCTTGATATTGTGAAGAAGCTCCTAAACGTATAACTATAGCAGAATTGACAAACAAACTGTTCACGTTTGCTTTAAGAAACCATAACAATGGCGGCTAACGTCAGGGAGTTGCTTTACTTTAACACTTCAAGAAGCCGCGAGTAGAGCGGTGTACCTGTTATATTACTTATCTTACAGATAGAAAACTCTACTTTTAACATGTATAAACAGAAAAGACAAACAAACGTTCACGTTTGCTTTAAGAAGCCATAAGAATGGCGGTTATCATCCGAGAGCAGATGGAAGGCTTCGAAGAATGTAATTATGATCTGGTAGCTAGCGGTAATTAAAACCATCTTTGATAGAACGAAACCTTCTAATAGACCCTAATAAACACACAATTAGAACCTTCAAGGGATATGGTTATCTAAACTATTAGCTTAATCATGATGAAGGGCGTGGTCAATGTTACAAAATATTCTTAAATTCGTCTCTTTCGTCGCTTTAAACTTTTCTAAAAAATGAAGGGATATAGGTCCTCTAATTACTTTTTTAATTGTGGTCAATGTTAGAAAATATTCTAATTTCGTCGCTTTAATCACAATTATATACTTTTTTAGAAATTAAAGTGATATAGCTATCGAATTGTCAATTCTATATAGTTCTACAATTGATATATTAAGCACGTACTGTATATATCATACGTTTCTATATCTATCTGATGTTTGAATTAATAAGTTAAATATAAACATTGTATCTATCTTAACCGAAAATTAACAGGAAGATATCCCTTAAAATGACAAACCTCTAACAATAATGGAGAATAATTGGTGATGCTGGGAATATGTTATTGTAATACAATGTAATAAAGACTTTAACATAGTATAATAACAATAACAACAGAATAACAATAGATAATGACATCCGACAGTGCTGTTTATCTCTGGTTCCAGTAAGCCTGATACTTTCTGACTCGTGACTCCCTAATATAGCTGACAGGATACTGTAACACCTTAATCTATGATAAGGTTGTACGCATCTGCAGTTTTCGACCAAGCTTCTAAAAAATAATGATTCACCGTCACCGCTGTTTGTAACCAATTGATGCCTTCCATCTATTTAATATCGTTCAAAAAACACAAAAACATCCAAATTGACCACTTTTCGTTGAATCCGTGAATTACTCGTTTGAATATAAGATTTGAAGATTGTCAACATGAAATGAAAGGGTTGTTTTTATTGCTAAGATTGGCAAAATATATAAATATGTAAACTTAAAGCGGTAAAGAAAAATCCATTAAACACATGTTGATTGTGAACGTACAGGGATGTCTAAGAATAAAGGTGTGCTATTGTCTACAACAGTTTTGTTAAATATTCAAATTTCATTAAAACAATTGTCGAAGATTTTTTTATCTCCCATTTTGGTGTGTTTTAGAAATTGTACATTCATGTTTTTAATGCTGCGGGTACACGAACTGTTTTTGGCGGCGATTCTTGTCGCCGACTAGAGTCTTGTCAAGAGTTTTACCAACCGGCTGCGGGAAAACGAGGGGCAACAAAAAACGGCGACAAAACTGTTCATGTGCCAATGAAATCACATCTTTAACTATCTTCCACAAAGTGATAATGGATTAATAAAACTTTTTTAAATTAAAAACCCTCGACAGCCGCAAATAAAAAAAAAAAAAAGAGCAGATTAATGCCGCTGTCCTGGCAAAATTTCCCTCATTGCACCCTGCATGGCGTTGCCCGTCTTCATTAGCCCACATGGTACAGACGTAAACTCCATTCATTCCATTTCATTTAGATTAAAAAGGTTTCGTTATTTAAATGATAATGTGGAACATGAACGATCTGTAATATATACACAACCAAGATGGCGACGGACAGGTCACGTGTTCACGTCATGATAACTCATCGTTAGTTTTTAAATTGGGATTTTTCATCCCTCGAGTCATTTGTGCTGAAATATAAATGTACACTTTTCTCCACGCCTCCGAAACCTCTTTATTATAATGGTCTCCCAAACACACACCCAGTCCGTAATGTAACGACGGCCATAATTTCTGAAAATAGAAAACAAAATCATTTTTAAATTCGTTTCAAATTGCGTAATCCTTCAAAATCAAAGACTTTAACCTGGATACCGTTTCATAAAAAATCATATGATCGATGTTGCCAGTAGCTATGGTATTTATTAATGTTATAGAGGTCCTAGGCTATCCCACACTTCAGATGACAAATTCTTATCATGGGCTTTTTGTGTGAAACGAGGCCGTGGAACTTTCAATGGATTTAAAACTTTAAATCGAGTATAAAAGCCGAAATTATTCTAAGGAGTGCCAAATTTTCTCACGAAGACTCACTAAAAATATTCATTTTCGAGTCAACATTTTTCCGACTGCTTGGCCTTACTGAAAATGCCATCGCATGCCATCATTTCATTCGGGATTGTTTATTACTATAAAATCACGATACAGTGTTCAATGCCGGTTTCCGCAGCTTGCACTTAATACAACCAAGGAGCCATTAATTTAACTGATCAAAGAAATGGTTTCCCACTCAGCAATGCAGATACATTATACATGCATTTGGCTCTATACCTCACCTCATAAAGGGCTACCGACAAATTTCAAAAGAGTTCGCATTCTTTCCGATTAAAAATTTCTCTTATTATGACGTTACAATCGAAATATATGCAACAATGACATAACGTCATAGACGCATTTCAAGTTTCTCTGCATATTTTGAAGTTTTCATTACTTTGAACAAGGTAAGAATGGGAATTTTATATTCAAAGCTTATTCTTTTCACTTTCTGAAGAGTTCCATTACCTTCTGTAGCAAAAGCCGCTCCTTTTATTAAAAATTTACTCTATATCTTGAGTGTTATGGATATTTCGCTTGCTTTTTGGTTTTTTTTTTCATTCACATGTTTCTGTTTTAAGTGATTATCATACGTATGAGTATCATTTTTGTTAGAAACAAAAGAATCATGATGAAATTTCACTTGTATTCATGGGCCTCCATATCGATCACGATGAATTCCTACCCGTGTAACATTTTAGATCGACCCACGTGTAGTCAAATTTCAACGTTCATGACAAGGATAAATGTTGCATCGACAGAAAAAATATAATAATGCCTGAAATACACAAAAACTCTTGCGAATTTCAGAGTATTTGCAAAAGATGAGGAAAATTAGTAGTTTGCATCAGAAACAGAAATTAAAACTTGACAACGCGATAATTATACAGCGTAATTCTATTGTTTGACGTCATAATCAAACTGAAATTTCAAATTTACAAACTAGCTGTCCTGATAACGGGAATTCTTTCCGAAACACGTGTTCTAACAGCTGATAGCACTTGACTTCATCCACTGATACCCACATCACTATCAGTATTCAAACCTAATACCCCTTATAATTATACATTAGCAGGTTTTGCATAAAAGTCCGTACAAGCAAGGCATTTCCGTTATTCAAAATCTAAAATTTGCCAATATATGGTAAAATCGAGAGTAAAAGTTGTGTAATAGTGGATTCCTCCAAGAAGAAGTACCATAAGGTGTTTCTCAAAGAGTACGCATGGTTGGCCTATGCTTCGCGACACCGGACATCAATGGAGAAACCTCTGTTATATTCTATTGCTACTTTCAGGATGTCTAAGAAATACATGTCTAGACCGGCGTATTGTTTTACTGGGTTACCAGACTATTCCACGCCACCGATGACAGTCGAGGAATACAAGGCCTGTGAAGCGAAATATTTTGATTTCTTGAAAACCGAGGAAAACAAGGATGAGCAACCAGTTGGTGCCTTTTCAAGATTTTTAAGATTCATTGGGATGTCGAAGAGCACAGCCCTTGATGGTAAGTAACCACAGTGGTGACTTCAAGGGAAGACAAGGGGGTCCTTCCACATTCAAAAAGTTCAATGAAAAAAATTGAAAGAAGGGTTTAAGCCCATTATGTTTACAATGGTTTTCCACGGAGTAGCATGTCCCCGGACAGCCTGGAATGGCTTCACGCCTTCAACGACAGCTTCATTTTCTTTTGGCATTGCATCGGGCATGTATCGGGCTCTAACATCAAAGAGTTTGTCTCCATAAATATATCTTCTTTATGTCCGAGACTCGAAGGATGTTATCTTGTCATCATTTTTTTGGCAGTGCATCGGACTTGTACCATTTGCCCTTTCTCAAATAGAAGGCTCATACGTTGTAGGTGATGGTGCTGATGTCCAACAGGCTGCAAATAAATCACAAGGTGGTGGAGGTTAGTATTTCTATTTGGTCTTTATAATATGATCAACTGTCATGAAACATAACATAAAGGATACAAACTAGTTTTTGAGCTGATAGACATTGTCTCCGCGTTCAAAAGAAACAAAACACGATCTAATCTTGGAACATGGAAAATCTGTCTCTCCCCGGGTCTCGAACGTGATATACTTATTGGATATCAGACTAGGAAACTTTGGTCAAATTTTAATTTAAAAAATCTCCTTCTTTTAGACAAAGAAGTAAATCTGCATCGAACTGAAAGTCGAGGAAGTGGAGATGAGGACGACCATAAAACTCTCACCGCCATGGCCGGGGCTGAAATCGACGTGAACTCTAACACCACTAGCTATAAATTGAAGGAAGATTCAAGTGACCAATCTAGAGATGTCCACGCCGTGTCCAGTCAGGATAGCGACAAAGAGTTTATTTCTTGTCGACTACAGCTGTTGGATGAATCGCCTGAAAACGGTAAGCTACCAAACGAGCTCAAGTTCATCTATGTGATGCTTCATTGACAATTGTGGCTGGGTGGGGCAGTCTTTCCTAGCATAGTTTGAGCATGCTCGCCCTTAAGAACGACTAGTAAACTTTGTGGTGGATTTGTTAACAAGGTAATCCATTCAGAGAGTACTAACGTAAAAGTTTATCATTTTCATGCTTAAGTCATTGTCAATCGATAATGTGTATTGTTCATGCTATTAATCAACGACAAAGGTGAAATTTAGAATAACTTTACTGATTAGATGCTCTGTCATAAAACCATATAATATCAATCTGAATCTCTGGTAAATGTCATTTGAAATCTGTTCTTTCCCATGGGATTCAGTTAAGTCATAATGTCTTGAATGAAGCAAAAATCTAAGTTGAAATCCAAACCCGGCAGAATCACGAGGTATGAGTAAGGACTACCGGATTCATGATAGTATCCCCGCCCTGGTCTTGTAGAAACAACACAGAGAGGAATTTAGGGCATCTTGCTCTCAGTATTAGCCGCACTCTACTATTTAAAGTTGCCGTCGGTGCCCCTTATTTATTTTAAGGAGAGATGGGGAAAATTTTGAGTTATGGACAAGGTATTATTTCAATTTGGCTGACTTTTTTCCAGTTTTTAACATCGATGAAGACACAGACAAACCCAAAAAGAGCTTGTGGAAATCCTTACGAAAATTCTTCAGAAGTCCTTTTAAGAGCTGCTTCAAAGCAGAAAAATAATTTGGGAATACTTATTGTTGATAGGGGTGCGAAAGGTGCTACATCTATTGTTTATTTCCATCCATGGAAGTTTTCTGTCGAACTAGTTTCTCCGACACGCAGAAGTGCCTTTAGTGCAATATGTGAATATTTGTATCCGGATGATTTATTTCTGAACTGTGATATTTCAATGTATATTTTGGGGAATTATATTTATATTTGAGAAAACATAATTCGTTATTTTTCCTGACTCAACCACGGCAAGTCCTCTTGTTTTCCCTATATACATGCAACGTTGTTTAATGCCCCATCTTGAACATTCGTTTGTTTTTGATTGATATTTTGAAAAGATGTTCCCCTAATTGGGATGCTCAAGAGCAACTGAAGTAGGGAAAAAGCAGCATTCCCTTGTCTATTACTCGCTTCCCCAGCACAGAGAGAGCACATACAACCATACACTACACCCCTACAGCCACCACGCCACGGCCCAAAATTAGCCAATATCTCGTCACGATGCCAAGCTAGTACAAATTGCGTCTAATACCAAACAGAGTAGTCGACAGAAAGACTATAAACAATATGACTGTGCGTGTAATCAGAGGCTATGATTGGCTGCATTAGCTAGCTTACAATCCAATCAAATTATTGCATTCCATGATACAAGAAAGTGGCTGTTGCAGTCAAAGAATAAGACTCAATTCGTAGTAGCTTGACATTAAGAAGATGTAGAAACGATTGAGGATCAGACATTCGATATGACCCACTCCGAACTATGGCAAGGTGGAAAAGTCGATCATTTTCCCCTCTTGTGGAGGCAACACACTAAACCATGTTGTTGCTGTTGTGTCGCCCCTGCCAACAATTAGCCTCAAATGTCGTGTACCCACCTTAACGTATTGCGGTTTGACGTTACGTCTAACATGCGTCTGTCCTATAGAAACCATTACACTATTTAAGAAGTCGGAATCTTCTAAACTCTCTACTGCTGCCCCCAGACCTTCCATAACAGTAACAGCATGTTTCTGGAGCATATCTCTGTCCATTTGCCATTCAAGCTGGTTTGATTCATTCATTTGAACTATTTTGGGAAACAGTGCCTTCATGTCAGGTTCCGTTTCGAAAAACCTGAAATATAATAAAAGTAAGATATCAAACCAATAGCTCAAAACAACATCAAAACTTTCAAGACAAAATACTTACAATGTTTCGTTTAATCATCAAAGTAACAAGTATATATATCGGGTGTCGTGAAAAAAGATAGTATCTCAGCTGTTGGTACTGGAGATCAGTTTACCAATAGTTGAGATATTACTCTTTATATCTTTATATATAAACCAAAAGGGTTCTGATACCTCTCGTGACCCTTGACACAATATCGAAAAGGGGATTGTGCCAACTATCATTGCTTACGATAATTAAACCGAGTATTAAAGATCCTAACCGCAAAACGAAACCCTAAATTCAAAACAACATGTTGGAGAACCATTTTAGCAGCTAATGAACTTTTCATATGAGGAACTATATCAATCATAATAACCCTACCCCCACAGTGTATTGAACATTCTATTCAGCTTTACAATTACCTGTAAAAGCAGGTTCTAGTTATAGTCCAATAATCAACGCAGAATCGTTTATTTTGATAACGAGAACGACTGGTATAGTAAACTGCCATATTAAGACAGTGTAAGGCTGAGAATCGTGTGAAATTAAAAGTGTGTTAATAATAAACCGTGAACCAATGGAAACCATAATTATAGCATTATATAGAGCTAGTATATCTATAACAAACATAATGATAACTTTACATACTGATGATACGTTTGTATAGGGGCTTGACACCCGAGTATTGATATATTATGACGGCAAGATGGTATCCTACAATCTAACCCAATTTTTCATCCAATCAACATTGGCCAATTTTTCTATCAAGTGATTGACTTAATTGTTAAGAAATTTCACAATCATGTGACATTTTGACTGACAGCTACCCCTAGATTCTTTTCAAATTAATACAATTTTTAAATAGTTTTGTAGAAAGAGTAATACATACATCTTAAATAAATCTGTACACGCAAGACAATTTCGAAAATCAAAATCTCGTCCAAAGAATGGCAAAATCGAGAGTAAAAGGTGGACTCCTTAAAAGAGAAGTACCAAAGAATCTCAAAGATTCAAATTAAGCATTACAACGAGATTGATAAAAACAGAACAATGAAGGAAAAGCGAATTCATCTGGATCTGCCGATGATAATAATAAATTGTAAACCTCAAGTGTCTCAACAGATAACACCTTGCAATCACAACTTTCTGAATTTTAAATTTGGAAACATTTACGAAAAGCTGTCAATATGCACCTTTTACAAAACGACGATGATTTCTTTTCATGACACAATAATTACTTAAAAATCATGAATTCAAAGTAACAAAAAATGACGGCAAATCAAACTTTTCCCAAGAATTCAAATTAACAAAACATTGGACTATAATTAACATGTACAGGACTTGACGAAGAATTGAGTGAAAAATACCAATCAAAATGCGAGATTTAAAAAAAAAGATGTTTCTTTATGAAATGTGGTTTTATTCGAGTTAATTATAGGATTAGGGAATTTTGCAATTACTGTGTTTTTTTTCACGTAATGTAGTTTATTCTTTTTGATTTTAAGTTTTGGTAATTTTGAATAAGCTATTTCTTCGAGTAATCTAGTTTATTCTAGTTAATTATAAGATTGGAGAAAGAATTCGCCGATATTCATTTGAGTAAAAAAAGAGAATTATTATTGACATTCAACAAACAGAGAAAATCTGAACCAGGTAAAACCTAGAATAATTTTCATAATGAAATAATTCTATCAATGATTGCGTGTAATGTTTAGATTAAAGGAAACCATGGGAGTAACATCGAGGACTCGGCGCTTTCAATTCACCCACACAGCATCCCAATCTGAGGTTGGAATCCAAGTTTCTGTACAGAACAGCAGGCAATATCTAATTATGGGATTGTAATCCATGTAGGAAAGATTTGTTGCTGTTATTTTGGGTGATTTGGAAAAAGGATTAAGGATTTCGTGTAATGTTTGGATTTAAGGAAATAATGCCTCTAACATCGTGAACTAGGCGCTTTCAAAACACCCATCTCCATTTGAGATTGCAGCGGGCAATAACTAATTATGGTTTTGTATTCCACATAGGAAGGAGTTGTTTTTCAGTCTTGTCTGCCTATTTTATATTTTATCATTTGAAAAATAGGATATTGACGAATATATAGGAATAGTCTCTAGATTTTCGTGTAATGATCGGTTTGAAGGAAACCATACGAGTCACATTTGGGAACTTGGCGTTTTTCATTTTTCCTGATATCAGCCCCGTCGAGGCTTGTAATCCAAGTTTCATTACAGATCAGCGGGCAATATTTAATCATGGTAAAGCAATCCATGTGAAGAGGGAGATTACGCCGATATTTTAGAATTATGCTATCTAGAACTGTCTCAAGTCGGTGACCCTGTGGTGCTCGTTGATAACAAGATCGTTTCGAGAATACGCAATCAGAATACTAGACACATCTCCTTTATGACAGTTGACAGATTGAAATGAGATGACAGGAGATTTTGTGATCAACAGATTTTAACCCAATGTTATTAATCAAATAAATATTTTTTTCTAATCAGCTTAAAGGGATTAGCTCGTCTATTTACATCATTTAGATGAGATAAAGTCAGGAGTTTACAGGTTATTGAATAATACTATTGATTGATGTGTTATATGTCAGAAATCACGAACGTTATCATATGATTTCTGCATTTCTCTATGTTTCGAAGACTTGGTAACTATGATATATTGCCACAGTAGCTAAATTATGGCGAAATGTGATGCCCCAAACCAATTGGTAATTGTTTGAATAACTAACCCAACAAAACAAATTAGAGTTATATTATTGCAGACATTTCTGTCTAAACAAATAGCATTGTGGATAATGAACAAACAAAGGGACGAACGATCTTTATGTGTTCATCCTTGAAGCCACTGTCCGAATGTGTTTGGCCTTGAAGCCACTGTCCGAATGTGTTTGGCCTTGAAGCCACTGTCCGAATGTGTTTGGCCTTGAAGCCATTGTCCGAATGTGTTTCGCCTTCAGACTTTACAAAGCTAACAATGATGATATGGAAAATTTATTACAAAATGTATAACCGAAAAGTGCAGATGGATTATGAAAATAAATTGAGGAATCAATTCCTTCAATGTTTAATTCAATTTGAATTGAGTTTTTATTGATGTAATCTCTTATTCCATTTCGTTAATCACATTATCGAGATTGAGGCAGAGAGCAATATTTACTTTCCGAGGCACTAGACTACAAACTCCATAGGCCCCTTTTATCTAAAAAAAACTTTACTGGAGGCTTTTCAATTTCACAATGTTTGTCTTAAAAAAAACCTGATGTGGCATGTTTCCACTTGAGATCACTGTCATTGTATAATGATTTTTAAATTTGTAACACATTAATTTGAAAACCCACATCATCCTACTCTTGAGGTTTAGTAGCCGCAACCTTCTCTCTGTACTTTTATGTTCCGATTGATAGATATACAAGTTTACTACCTGTATAAAATACCCGTATGTAGGCCTTCAACGTTCAGTACTAACACAAATACCAATTTTCATCTTTCTCATCATCCAACCCATTACTCATTGATACCTTCAAGAATAACTAGATGAGAAAGTCACTCTTTTCAGTCTCTGTGCCTGATACTCCGAGCACATCTTCTGAAATCTTGTATATGTCAGTTATATGTAGGAAATGGTATTTTTGATAACATTGTTGTAACATTGCCAAATTCATTTTCTATTGTTGTAGTAAAATCTACTTTAATCAACGTTCACTAGACCAGTCGTTCCTATTAGCAAAAAGGGTAACACACAACGATTCTGCGTTGGTTATTGAACTATTACACGGAACATCGTGTGGGATTTCCAGTATTCATCAACTAGACATAGATTTTTATGCTCCGGGAGAGATTCGGTTACAAACCGGTATTAGATCTACAAAACGGGTTTTGGCAAATATCTAAAAGATCATGTATTGTAGCCTGGTAGTTGTGACAAATGGAATACAACGTCGACTGTGTTTGCTAATTATTACATATCTTTAAAACCATTATTGTTGGAAGAGTTACATCCCTATTCTAAACTACGATAACTTTCAATTAAATATTTCGTATTTAAAATGCGACAGGTGATAGCTATTATAGACCAATTAATTCTATCAATGAGTTACAACTAAGAACGTTAATCCACTTTTTGCAAAGCTAGTCAGTAAGAAAACGATTTTTTGATTGGCTGGAATCTAACATTGTTTACGCTTAACCAATCAAGGCCGTTCTTAACGAGGTGAGAAAGTATTCCAAAAACAATCAGTCAAGTTTAAGAACAGGGAGATGAAAGAAAGCGACAATGGGTTTGAATCTTATTGATTGTAGAAGACAAACTATCTAATGATAGAATAAAATCACTGTGAGCTGATTAAAAACAGATTGTACAGACAATATATATATATATATATATATACATTCTTAAATATACCATTACTATCGCATCGACAGGTCTTAAAACATTTTCAATAGTTATTCCGAGGACAGACTTATCTCAAGTGGGCATGAACTTCAGAGATTAATGAACCTGAGTTATTTAGAGTGAAAATTGTACCAACACGTTTGCTAACGAAACATGAACGTTTCCAAATAAGAACAGAACATGACCAATTTTGTCCACTAGTATATTTGAAAGGAATTTGCCACAATCAGATGAAGATCTGTTTCATGGAGAAACGTACATTAAATAGGTCAAATATATCTTAAAATAATCATGATAATAATTATAATAATAATAATAATAAGAGAAATAAAACCGAATATTCCATCATAAAGAAGAAATCATTTTAAGTACAAACTCTATATTCGGACAAAGAAATGGCGAACCTTCACCTATATACAGTACGCAATTCAGAGCTTCAGCTCTTTCAGATATATAAAAACACACAATGAGTCGTTTGGCAGATAAACGTTATCAGCTTAAGAAATCTCAACACGAAATTTCCCATGATAGATTCAGATCCATTCTTCAACTGATAGGCCAAGATTGGAATCTCTTACAGGAACTTCTGACAATTTCCTTTTCTTCTGACATATCTTATACCACTTGAAGAAAAGATGGTATCGTGAAAAAACTCAGAAGAGTCTTTTAATGATATCATTATTGTATAGTTGTCTCGACGATTCAAAACATTTCGATTATGTCCCTGTTAAAAGAGTTGTTACAATGAATGAAACAAAACTAGTTCTGTCGTGCTGGGAATATCAATACACAGTACTCAGTATGAGAAAATATAAATGTTTTAACTGTGCCAATAAAATGATCATCGCAAGCCTACTCTTCAATGTTATTAAATGAGAACGCATCTCAACAATACACGTAGCGACAGTGACAAAGTATGGATATCTAACTCGAACGAGCTATAGTTTAATCCGTGATCTCATGATATGACAGAGCGCTAAAAGCAAAATATCCTTTGTTAATCCCATCATTGTATTGTCTGCCATACAATAGGTGAAGTTATTAGTTATAAGACTACAATGCATTTCGGCTGGAATCTACAGCACGCCAAGAATTCATTTA